AACACATCCGAATTTTACTATTGAAACGCACGAGAGATAAAACAACATTACGAACTTACGCATTTGTCATGGATATCATATTTGTAAGATAAGCAATTAAGGATATACGGGAGAAAAGAAATGATCGAGACCCTTAAAAGTATGACGACGTCTTTACTTTCTACAATAGTATATAGATCGATGGAGTTTCATTTTTTTTTTCGTTGATAGTAATATTGGTGACTCGTAACTGGAGGAACGATTATGGCATGATTACTATGTACAAAAATTAGAGCACGATATCTTCCTCTCCTATTTTCTTTTTCGCTTTGGCGAGTTTTTAAGTGAAGTTTTATTAGATCACTCATCATTACAGCAAGTTTCTACTATCTTCGAAGTTATGCAAATATCTCATTCTAATTTCAAGATGTTGCTAGACATTCAATCGGCCTGAAACCTGTTGTACGGATGCCCATTTAGTATCCTAGACTTTTCAATCTTCTTATTTAGCATGCTAGGCATTGTCCAAATATCAAACAGGATTTTTCGGATCATCCCATGAATTTAATAACTTAGTTTGCGATTGCTTCCTAGTGAAACACAGAGTCAAGGAAATGAAAACAATAATAGACGGCGTGTTCCAATCCGCTTGCTAAGTAACGAGGAGAGGGTTGTTATAAGTGCATTAGAGCGGTTCACTTCAGTATATAGTAATACCTTCCTGTAACTTTTATTTTTCTTTATATATGTTTCGAATTCCACTTAAGTGGGTAATCATATTATTGCTAATATCATCCAACTGTACAAGACAATAAACTTGTGATCTTGAAGTCTAATGGCAGTAGAAAGTCGGGATCGAGACGACGGAAGATTCAACTGTGACATAGATATCGGGAGTGTCCAACGAAGCGCCCACCTTGCCGCGGCTTATCGGGAATTCTGAAATGTGAATACACCATTTTCACAAATTGCCGAATCAGTCATGAAAAAGATAATGCATCGCACGTTTCTATACATGGAAAATAAAGACAAGGGGATATGGGATCCCATAAATCACGAGCCGATGCCACTATATATCGATAAATTTGGAAATTAATTGGTTAAAAATTCAACGATCCCTGATTAAATATGCTTAATAAGTATCTCGGGACCACTTGTAAGTACGATCCATTGCAAAAAGATTGTAATTATGAGTATATGTTGTCTTCACAATATAACACGAAGAAGATTCAACACGTGACTGTATCTGTTGGCTGAAGAGCACCTGCACCGCCGCTCTCTCGCACCAGCTCTTCAAAGAAAACAAAGTAAAAAACGTCAGGTTGGTGACTGCGTTGCACTCGGTGCGAGTGCACTGCACTGTTTTCACCAATCGGGACAATGAGACGAGCCTCGTGTGATGTGAACGGGGTGATTCGACAAATCCATACAACAATAATTTAATCTGCTAATTATCGAAAAAGATTTTAAAAAGAAAGGCAAAGAGACTTTTACATGTTTTAGCAAACCACGACAAAACGACAAGTGTAGGTGTCTGCATTATCTATGATATCTCTCCGGCTAAGATTTGATTCTCTTGAATTCCTACCCCCATTCATCGATCTCAGACACGCACAGGCGAACGTCCGAACACGTTGGGGCTCGGGGAAAGAGGGGAGAGTAAAGCTAATCTGGATAAATTAAGTACGGATGGGCCCAGCGGGCACGCGGCCCTACCGGTAAAAAAAATTGGAGATGGGGGCAGAGTATTAAGTCAAGGATTTGATTCTCGTGAATACCGCATACGTATATACGGAAGAGATGAGCGAGACCAAAAAAAAGTACGGATAGAAAATGAATTGGGACAAAAAAAATGTGACGTGGCATTAGTTGGACCCGAGAGGTGTCCAGAGGTCAATTTTGCCGGTCTATACAATCTTGGAGAGCAAGGGAAGGGAGGGGGAGCGCACCGGGAGAAATCGACACAAATTCGCACGATCGAGGGGACATTTAGTATCATTTTGGGACGAATTTTGGTTGGAAAGATCCAACATGAAAGGCGTATAGCGTCATGGATGATGTTTTTGCAATTGACGTTGGATGTCTCGTTAGATCATTAGATTTGAGGAAGATCCCTCCTGAACGCCTTGGCTTGTATTAGAAGTCTCGCGTCTTTCTATTCTCTCGCTCCATCGACAAAATATAATCATCTCGACCCGAGTCGAAATTGGCAATCACCGCCGCTCCCGAACTAGAGAACGGGCAGAAGGCGGCGAGCAAAATACCGTCCCTTATCAAGTTCAAAAACTGCGACGATGCGTTGAAGAGACGTGGCGATTGCTTTGCATAGCCCATCAACGGGCCCTTTTCGGAACGACTGCCCTGGCCGTCCCCTAGAGAAAATGCATTAGTGACGGCCGCTGCCTTTGTCCTTGCTCTCTGATTTTGACATCTTGACGATATTATTTGACGCAAAACAATACTATAAATACGTTTGCTCCATGATGTGATCCAATTAAAATAAGCCGAATGGATCCAAAAGAAAATTGTTAAGGACTTCACTTCTCAGTCTTTTTTTAATTGCCCGAAATACACATTTTTTAAGTGGCATGAACCACTTGTTTGCTAAGATTATTGGGCAGTGATCAGTAACGTGACGGACCTGCAAGTGACTAAGAGAAAGACGAACTCAAATTGTTCACTTCAATTTGGGAAGGGACAAGTGCTCGAGCGTAGAGAGCAAGCCCAATTTCCATGTAATGGACTTTTCAATTCTTTCTCGGGGAGTTGCTCCTGAAATTTTTTGCCTTTTCCTGTAGAAAGTATAGGCATGAAATTGACGATATCGAGTTGCCCTGTGAGTTGTAACTCGATTGGTCATCATTGATGCAGACTTACGAGCTTGATCGTTCGTTCACAATACTAGCAAGATGGGCGCAAGTAATTGATATATGAAACGCTCGAATCATTTAATCATGACAAGAAATTATTAATAGAAATGCAAAGTACAAAGAAAGCGTGATATACGTGGATAGAGCAAATTATTTCAAGATTCGAAAATTTTTAGGGACGTTGTCGTGGGGGTGGAACATTTCCAAATTTTTACTATTGAAACGCACGAGAGGTAAAACACAATTATGAACTTTCGCGTTTGTCGTAGACATCATATTTGTAAGATAAAGCAATTAAGGACCTACGGGAGAAAAGAAATGATCGAGGCCCTTAAAAGTAAGAGGTCTTCTTTACTTTCTATGATAGTATAGACGCCAAGGTAAAATTTGGGTAATGTTTTGAGAATAACCGGATCAACCCGTCTTTCGACTTCGATGTTGTGTTTGCAAATGATGCTTTGTGTCAAATGAGCAAAATTGGATACTCAAACTTTAATTTATCGTTATAACTTGGAAGCTACATAGAATTATTCACATGCTATGTTGCAAATACTGTTATCATTCTGGATCCAGAGAAGTATTACATGGCTATTGTATTTGATGTCTAAAGCGATCCATCTCATATGCTATATGGGTGTTACTTGATGTCCATACCCGTAGCATTTACTCACGTGCATCATCTGTACTTGTAATGAGTTTGTAATTATGTAGTAATTTGGCATGGTATGCAGCAGCAACTCACCTTCATTTTGAAGCAATGACAGAAGCTCAAAAACTTGCTGCACAAGAAGCAGCGGACCCTCTGCATTAGAGTTCCAATCCTAGTCCCCTTGGGACAATGAAAAACCGTGCCTTCAACCATATGTGCAGTGACACCAGGTCATTGCTCGAGTCTTGTATGGCAAGTAAATACCGAGTTTGGAAATGCCTAAGCATTATAGACAACGTACATATAGTCTAACATTTGTATGACATCCATCATGAGTCATCGTATCTCAAGCATAAAGCCATGGTTTCGAAACAAGAACATGCAATTATAAATCCATTGTTCAGTTAATTACAATGCACTATAGCATTTTTCCCATGAAATCATCTTTATGAGAATTACTGTTTCTGCCATGAAATGGGAAGTCTTGATGCAATTCAGGAAGGTTGTACTGTTGGCTTGTGGAAAGGAGACAGCAAGGACGGAGAATGTTGTTCCTTATAAATTCTTAGCCATATGTCATGACTTTCTGCTGCATATGCAGACTGTCAAGACATTTTTTTTCCACATGAACTTGTTATTTCTATATATATGAGGCAGCATAATCCCACCAATGACTAATATATGCTCTAGAATTTTGGCTTGGTTTAATTGATCGCTCTTGACGACTGAGGTCGTCCAGCTTCATTGGCTTCATCAGCTAGTCCTAAAGTCATTCCTTTCAGCATGTTGAATTGAATAATTAATGGCTTATGCCGGTGTAACATCCATTTAATTTGTAGCATCTGGTGCCTCTGCGAGCACAGAAGATGCTCAAAGCCAGGTCTCTGTCGGGATGGGCCTGCTCGCTGGCTCGATGGTAATGCTTCTGACAGTTCTATGGGGCACTTGCATTATCTTCGGAAAATGCGATATTGAGAAGTCAACCACCATGGATCAAAAGGAAACGAAATTATTCAGCTTAGCTGGTACCTTCTGAACTCTATATGAATGCGCCATGATCATACTTATGGTATTGGATGCCACTGAATAAAGATATGAAGGTCAAAGCTCTACATCAGTTCCTATTTGCAAAACTCTGCTCCATGGCATGCTTATCGAACCAAATGATACTCACGGATGAATATTTAGAGAGAGTAGGCTCCTCAAAAGATCGTCTCTGAATGTTTCAAGTGAAGCAATTCCATGATTTTTATATTTGTATGTCACATCTGAAGCAACAATCTTTCCCCCATCCGAATATCTCAATAGCTTTACTCTTTTGTATTATGTATTGCAACTGAACTTTTGACTGCAACAATTTTGAAAATGACCCTTGTTATAGGTTGTCTATTTAGATGCACCTCGCATTATATCTCAAATAACGGTGACTATCGCAGGATCTGGAGCGAGCACCGACATCTGGACAAGCTATGCAGCAAGAATGATGATGATCTCTATAATTCCATTCATAATAGTCCAACTACCGATAATTGGTTTCTTTCGTTGTTTCCATATGTTTGTTGCTGTCCTACAACCTCTGCCAGGTAATCCCACTTTCATTCAGCAAAACATCAATGCTCGCAAGTCTAGTAGCTGTCACAGTTCAAGCCACATCGACAAATATGACATAAGCGGATGTGTTCTGAAACCTGGCCCTTCGGACAACAAACAATAATGCAGGTTTTCCGGCCAAGAATCTATAGGAGGATACTAAGAACGCAGGCATATCATATGCCCAGCTCAGACGCGATAATACCAAACTAACAGGAACACTAAGGTTTGCCCAAATCAAGAACCAGGCTGAAAATACGAGTCACCATAGAAGTTACCTAATTTTATCAAAACGTGCAAAGCAAAGAAAGAACTGAGAAGTTCATTACATCATTGGACCACCAGTTCTAGCTTTCGGGACATTCATCATCATTTTACAGAATTCCGCACCTCTGTCAAAGGCTGCGCTCGTCTCCAAGGCTTTTATTTCATATGGAATTTTCTCCTGCATAAAAAGTAGGCTGAATCAATATTGTATTCATAGCAGTTGATTTTTTTCTTGGTCTTCACAGCTTTTGTCAGCTGATGCTGCAATGACAAGTGATATCGTACAGCTTCAGACATCGAGTCCCATTTATCCTCTGCAGCTTTAGTGACCTGCACGCCATTTCAAGAACAACTAATTATGGTCTGAGAATTGAGACTGCTTAGGCAAATTAATCATCAGTAAGCCATAAGACTGAAGAGCATCAAGGAAATCCGAAAACCGGTCTCCGCCTAATTGTGAATGCGACCGCAAAAGCAGCAAGAGCGAGATGCACGGTAGCAGTTTGGTTCACTCTTACTGACAATGAGACAATTGGATGCCCATTGATTCTCGCTGATCAATTTGCAATCCAATTTTTTGCAACCAAGTGGTAATGTCAAGCATTGCGACGTAGTGATGATGGAAAGCTAAACGCAGGTGATTTGAGAGCGAGACTCGCAAGAGATTCGAATTCCTTGCTCTTCTTGAAATCACACCTGTCATCATGCATAAAACCATACATGTCAAAAAAAAACAGCGACTAATGCTAACACGCACACAAAAAAAAAAAAATCAATCTATTAAATCAAACTAACCGCACTCACATAAAAAGGACAAAAGCCAGGGAGGAGGACGCTCTGGCATCGCAGGAGCAGAGCTGCTGGTGCCTCCTTTCTTCTTCTTCGAAATATCCTTCCGTGGGTTAAGCATCCTTAAGAGAATGAAGAAGGTGGTTGAGATCGAGCATATGGTATTTCAATGCACAAACGCGAGTAAGAGGCCTGACTCACAACTTCAAAAATAATCACATAACATCTACTTGAAGCAACACCTACATCTACACACCGATCGTGTATACAGGAGGATTCACCAAGCAGCATGCGGCAAACTAAGGATGCTCGAAAAACGAAATGAAACAGAGAGATACTTGGAAAAAAAAAGAATTGGTCGAGCCTACTCTGGAGTCTGGACGAAGGTTCTGGTGAGTAATGTTTATCTAAGACCTTAATTTACATTCATTTGTTGCCTTAGATGGACGATATCTCTCGCTTATAAAAGTGAGATACGAAGCTTCAGGGCTGGGGCTGGGGCTAGGGCTTTTCTGATGGTTGATACCTAAATTTTGATTTTTTCTAGTCATTTATCACAAAATAAATTAGGGATTGGTTTTGTCTCTAAATAAAAATATTCATATCTCATAGTATTTGCATTCAAGCTGCATTTGATTGTTCGGATTTGAATTGAGATAGGATGGGATAAGGTGAGATTAGAAACCCTTCAAATATCCTCCGGATTGTCGAAAATCATTTCCCATATTTGGTGACATCCAAGATTGGATTCGAAATCTTTGTAAACTGACGCGGCAAAGCAATATGGGACTGGAAATCTCATGCATCAATTTGACGGAACCGGAATCCTCTTTCCTTTTCCACGAACTTGGTGAAGAAAAGCTGGTCGTATTCAGGAGAAATTATCTTGCCTAATCAAGCCAGATTACATATGTGGACAAGGAAGGAAAGGGCTGGCAATCGAGAGACAAAATCTGTGAAGACGGACAAAATAAAGGGAAGAAATCGAAGCGTTTGTGGAAGGTTTTGTCTGCTGAAATCTACAAAAGAAAAATGGAAGCAAATGAGCTGGCCAAACTAAAATCATGAAGAGGAATCGACGAGATTGGCACTCAAATTGGTAAGGCAAGAGGGATTTGACTGGGAACTAAATTCTGGGATTTTGAAAGCAATTCTTTGCACGCTATATAGGAAAGGGTTTCGAAAGGAAAGATAAAAAGAAAATGCTCATCAAGGATCCCGATGCCATCATATCTGCCCACGATCATGCTCATCCTTAAAAAGATTTTCACGATCCTTCAAGTACACGGCCATCATGCAGAGATTAACTTCCATTAGGGGTCAGCATGATTTCAAGTATGCAGAATAGGTTGAGATTTCAAAAATTGAAAAATTTATTTCGATGGATAGGTTTAAGTGCCAAGTACCCGGAATAAGTTTTTGTATTTTTTTATCTATTTTTTTGTGGGAACCTAAAACAAGTTTTTGTAATTTTTTTTTTGTTAATGTTTTCACGAGATCCTACAGCGTATAATTTGGAAATAATTTGGAACCACTAGTCTGAGTTTCTATTTTATAACTAAGATTTGTACTTTATTAATGTTTCGTATTCTTCATAGTTCTAAATATAAATTGTGTCAGTAGATTGTAATAGTAAGTGATGGTTATGAAAGATAATGATTTATTGCAATCGTTCAGCTAAACCCTAGCATCGACCCTAAAACCTGGGACATATTAGGTTCCAAAATCAATAGTATACAAGGTATAGGTTTTAAGTGGACCTGGAACCCCTCACCTCTAAATTCTATGACCATCAAATCTTGAAGCTCCCTAAAAGACCCACTCATCATCATCCACTACATCTCTCATGACATCCCACGATCAAATCTCCTCCCCTCTCCTCTCTATTCACGTCACCCATTTTCGTCACTTCCGGGAGACACTGAGGCCACACTTAGAGATAGACCAAGGCTTCTCCGATTAGGTTCTTTCATTACGAAGTTTCACATCCGGAGAAAAACTCCAGCGATCCAGGTGGTTCGCTTAGCCACCCATCACTGACACCGCTACCCTCAACGCTCCATCGAGGTCTTTGTAGTCCCGACGAACTTCTCGAGTTCTCCGTTTGTTTCCTTTTGCTGGTTTCCCGGCAGGTGAACAGCAAACAATTGAGCAAGCCGATGTATGTACATCAAGTGCCAATACCAATGCACCTGAATCTATGACTAAAAGAAAACAAAGTAAGTGATTATCAGGGGTGTCAAAACCAAACACAATCAATACCCGAACCGAAACACGAACCGACCCGATCCGAACACGAAATTTTCTTATTGGGTCGGGTTGGATCTCAACTTGTTTGGGTAACAATAAAAAGAATTGTGTATTGTTTGGATCTATTGGGCTTGGGTACCCAAGCCCAACCTAAACAATAACCAAAACCCTTAAGATCCCTCCTCCTCCTAGGACCCTGCCGCCGACTTCTTCTTCCCCGGGTTCTTCCGCCGCCCGCAACATCACCCTCAGCGGCGTCGCCTAGATCGACGGCCGCGGCGTCCTCAAGCTCACCAACGAGACGACCTGTTTCTACCCTAGCCAGGCGGCGGAGGATTTCATCCTTCTGCCGGAGACCACGCCGTCCAACCAGATCTCGCGGCCATCGCGCCGCCGCCTCCGTAAATACCGCATCATCCCCGAGTTCTGCACAGCGAAATCATCGACCGGCGACAACAACACCGCCACCGCCGCCGTCTCTGTCCCTGGGAACCACCACCGCAAGAGGTCCAGAGACGCCATCGGCGACGACCTCTTGAGCGGCGATCGCTTCTCGGTGACTCACGATCCTCGCAAGATGACCAAGGCGTCGCCGTCTCGGGGGTACGAATCGGAGATCGACCCTTTGATTTCCCAACATGTATGTAACGACCCTTCTTTCCTCCTTTCCTTTTTCAAATTTTACCTTTTCTTGTCGTCGTCGTCAGTTTATGTTGTTTCGACAAGTTTTTGATGGACTAATTAGGGTTTATGACTTGGTTTTGGGATTTCCAAAAGCAAAACCCTGACAACTTTGTTCTTGACTTCTTTACAGACGCAGGGGCTGGCCAGAAAAATCAAGGAAAAAGACCAAGAGATCGCGAAGATGGGGCAATTGAATCGCCTCCTCTGAGAGCAAGTGAAGTCCCTGTTGTCGGAGAACCACATCTGGCGGGGCCTTGCCCAGGACAACGAGGCCGAAGCCGACGCCTGCGGCGGCGGCGGCGGCGGTGGGCTCGTCGACGACGCGGAGTCCTCCTGCTGCGGCAGCAACAATGCTGGGACGGCGGGCGCAGAAGGCGGCGATGCCGCGACGGCGGTTGAATCGCTAAGGCCGGGGCGGTGATGCACGGGGTGCTGCTGGGAAGATGATGAATTCGAAATCCGCAACAATGGCGTCTCTCTCTCTATCTCTATCTCTGAATTCATTGTTTGAAACACAAAACCCGCCCCGACCCGACCCGACATGACCCGGCCCAATCGTGTAGCTTTATCTTGTTCGGGTCTTGTCTCGGATTGGGTCGAACACATATGTCCAATATTTGGGTCAGGTCGGGTATCATGAAAACCCAACCCGACCCGATCCATTGACGCCCCTAGTGATTATGGTCATGATATGCAATATATGTATATGTCAATGTTACATTTAATGACAATGAATACATATTCAGGATAAAGTTAAAGCAACGCCAAGTACAACTGAAGGAGGATCTAAAGGCCAGGCCATTGCTTCTACGGAGGCAAGTGCAGAATGTGGTGGGCAGGTTACTGCTTCTTCTCAAGCTTGTGGCGGGGTTAATGCTTTTGCCGCTGTCACTTTTGGTCAAGGATAAGGAATTTATTTTGTTCAAGCCAATGTAATAATTTAGGATAGACCTCAGAAAATCAAGCAATACCATAATCTGCATGCATTTATGTATTGTCATTTGATTCTTACGTCCAATGTTTTTTCCAATTTAAGAGACCTGCAACTGAAAAGGAAAAGATGCAAAGGCTATCGCAACCAAAGAAGAAGAAAATGGTAAGACTTGGTGTTTACACAAATCCTGGGACAAACCTTCAAATTCTCGATGTGAGTCATGTTTTAACATTTTATAATAAACAAGTCTCTGTCTCCTTCTTGAGCTAAAATATGTCCACTTTTTTGTAGCCTAGTACACTTGCCGAGGCCAGCTCGCTTGGCCATGGCTAGCGACCAACCATCGCCTATGGTGGGTCATCGGCAAAAGAAAGAAGAAGGAAAAAAAGAAAATAAGAAAAAATTGAAAAATATTAAAATATTATTAAAAATTATCCATGTCAACACTGGTGGTACCAGCCTCAATTGGCATTAGGTCAAAAAGTTTTACGACTAAATTGGCACGATTAAAAGGTTTATGACTAAATTGACATCAATGCAATAGATTTAAGATTTTTCTGACATTTTTGTCAACAAAATTTTAATTATTTCAATTTGAGGTTAGGGTTTTAGGGTTTAGGTTCTTAGGGTTTCAAGTTTGGGATATAGGGTTTAGTGTTTCGGGTTTTGGTTTGGGGTTTTAGGGATTCGAGTTTTGGGTATAGGGTTTAGAGTTTAGGGTTTTAGGTTTTAGGGTTTGGGATTTGATGTTTTAAGGTTGAGGTTTAGGGTTTTAGTGGGGTTTGGGGTTTAGGTTTTTAGTACTTTAGGGTTTGGGGTTTAAGATTTAGTATGAAATATCTTGTCAAAGAGAGGTGATTGATCTTGTTTCTCTTTTTGTACCCGAGAACTAGAAGCATTTTTTTTTTACTTTTTGTTTCAAATCTACTCCTCGGCTACTTTTTTGTTCCGGTGGACAAAAAAATTAACTAACATTACCAAACGGATTTTTGTTCCTTTTTCGCTCCGAAGAACAAAATAATAGAAAATATAAAATTTGTAACATTACCAAACAGGCCCCTAGTGTCTACATTATCTATGATATCTCTCCAGCTAAGACATTGTTTAATCATTTGATTCTCTTGAATTCCTGTCCCCATTCTTCGATCCCAGACACACACGGGCGAGTATCTGAACCCGTTGGGACTTGGGAAAGAGGAGAGAGTGACATAATCTAGGCAATTTAAGTACGGGTGGGAAATAAATTAGGACAAGCAACGTGTCGTGGCCTTGCACGTAAATAGATCAATACGGTTAAATGAGTCAACATAGATCGGATCATTTTCGACCTAACCCGTCCATTTGACGACCCTACACGAGAGGTGTCCAAAGTTCAATTTTTTCGGTCTATAAAATCTTGGAGAGCAAGGAAGGGAGAGACGCACACTAGAAGGAATCGACACGATCGAGGGAACTTCGTATCATCTTGGACAAATTTTGGTTGGAAAGATCCAACATGAAAGGCATATAGCAGCAGGGATGATGTTGTTGCATTTGACGCTGGATTTTTATTAGATTTGAGGAAGATTCCTCCTTAACGCCTTGGCTTGTATTAGAAGTCTCGCGTCTTCTATTTTCTCATTTCATCGACAAAATATATCATCTCGGCCCGAGTCGAAATTGAATGCCACCGCTCCCAAACTAGAGAACGGGCACAAGGCGCGAGCAAAAACTGTCTCTAAAATTTCAAAAACAGCGACGACGCATTAAAGAGGCATGGCAATTGCTTTGCGAAGCCTATCGACGGGCCCTTTTAGGAACGACTACCGTGGCCGTCCCCAGAGAAATGCATTAGGGATGGCCGCCGCCTTTGTCCTCGCTCTTCTGATTTGGCATCTTGAGGATATTATTTGACGCAAAACATAACTAAAGATAGGTTTGCTCCACGATGTGATGTGATCGAATTAAAATAAGCCGAATGGATTCTAGGGGAAATTGTTAAGGCCTTCGCTTCTCAGTCTGTTTTTCAATTGCCCGAGGTACACATTTTTTAGGTGGCATGAAGCACTTCTTTGCTAAGATTGTTGGGCAGTGATCAGTTACGTGATTGACCTGCGAATGACTCCGAGAAAGACAAACTCAAATTGTTCACTCAATTTCGGAAGGGACACTGCCCAATTTCCATGCGATGGACTTTCCATTCATTCTTGGGAGCTACTCCTAAATTCTTTTGCCTTTTCCTATAGAAAGTATATGCCAGAAAATGACGATGGAGGGTTGCCTTGTAACTCGAATGGTCATCATCGATGCAGACTTGTGAGCTTGTTCGTTCGTTCACGATACTAGCAAAATGTGCCCGAGTAATTGAAATATGAAACCCTCGAGTCGTTTAGCAACGAGAAGAAATTATTGATAGAAATGCAACATACAAAGAAAGCGCAATACATGTGGGTACAAAAATATTTCAAGATTCGGAAAATTTTGTAGGGATGTCATGGGGTGGAACATTTCCGAATTTTTACTATTAAACGCACGAGAGATAAAACAAAGATATGAACTTTCGCTTTCGTCATAGAGACATCATATTTGTAAGATTAAGCAATTAAGGACCCACGGGAGAAAAGAAATAATCAAATGATCAAGGTGCTTAAAAATAAGAGGTCTGCCTTACTCTGCAAATACAGTATCATTCTGGATCCAGACAAGTATTACATGGCTATTGTATTTGATGTCTAAAGTGATCCATCTCATGTGCTATATGGGTGTACTTGATGTCCACACCCGTAGCATTTACTCACCCAGATCATATTTAGTGTAATAAGTTTGAAATTATGCAGTAATTTGGCATAGAATGCAGCAGTAACTCACCTTCATTGTGAAGCAATGACAAAGCTCAAAAACTTGCTGCACAAGAAACAGCCGACCCACTGCACTAAAGTTCCAATGCTAGCCCCCTTTGGACAATTAAAAACCATGCCTTCAACCATGTGTGCAGTGACACCAGGTCGTTGCTCAAGTCGTACAAGGGCGAGTAAATACTGAGTTTTAAAAATGCTAGTCTATCAATTGTATGACATCTATCACAAGTCATCGTATCTCAAGTATAAAGCCATGGTTTCCAAACAAGAACACGCAGAGCAAATACGAGTTTACCAGGTTTGCCCAAATCAAACGTGCAAAGCAAACGATAAACTTCTGAGAAGTTTATTACTCCATTGGACCACCAGTTGTAGCTGCTTCTGAGAGTTTTTCTTCCGTAGGAGGAGCAGCTGCTGCCGTTGCTTTCGGGGCATTCGTAATCATTTTATAGAATTCCGCAGCTCTGTCCATGGCTGCCACCATCTCCGAGGCTTTTTTTACGAATGGACTTTTCTCCTGCATAAAATGTAGGCTGAATCAACATTGTATTCACAGAGGTTGGTATTTTTCTTGGGCTTTTCACAGCTTTTGTGAGCTAATGCTGCAATGACAAGTGACATCTTACAGCTTCAGACATTGAGTTCCATTTATCCTCTGCAGCTTTTTCGACCTGCACACCATTTCAAGCACAACAAATTATGGTCTGAGAATTGAGACTGCTAAGGCAAATTAGTCATCAGAAAGCTATAAGACCGAAGAGCATCGAGGTAATCCGAAAACGACAAAGAGAGACGGGTCTCTGACTAATTGCGAGCGTGAATGCAAAAGCAGCAAGAGCGAGACGCACGGTAGCAATTTGGTTTCTCTCTTACTGAAAATGAGACGGTTGAATGATGCACATCGAATCACGCTGATCGATTCGCAATCCAATTTTTTTTTCGCAAACAAGTCAAAAAAAAAACTGTTGGGATCAGAAGTGCCTGAAACTCGGTAATGTCGAGAATTGCAACGTAGGGACGACGCAAAAGATAAAGAACAGTAAACGCAAGGTGACTTGAGAGCGAGACTCACGACAGATTCGCATTCCTTGCTCCTCTTGAAATCACACCTGTCACCACCCATAAAACCATACATGTAAAAACAAACAAACAAACAGCAGAATAATGGTAACACACAAAAATCCAATCAATCAATCAATCAATCAAATCAAACTAAGCGCACTCACATAAAAATGGTAAAAGCCGGGGGAGGAGGACGCTCTAGCACCGCTCCTTTCCTCTTGTTCGAGATATCCTTCCGTGGGTCAAGCACCCTTGAGAGAACGAAGAAGGTGGTTGAGATCGAGCGTATGGTATTTCAATATGCACAAACAAACGCGAGTAAGAGAAGCCCGGCTCACAAATTCAAAAGCAATCACATAACATAGCAACATCAATCTACATGTACACACCGATCGGTGTACACAGGAGGATTCACCAAGCAGTATACGGTCGAAAAACGAAACGATACACAGAGAGAGAGAGAGAGATATCCTTGGGCAAAAAAACAGAAAAGAAAAGGGAATGAATTGGTCGAGCCTACTCTGGGGCTGGGCGACGTTTCTTCTCCAACACCGGGAGCGCTCTGCCGGCTCCCCTCGCCGACGAGGAGGTCTTGCTGGCCATGTAGTCGGAATAGGCGTCGAGGATGTGCGCCTTGGGGGAGAAAGGGGGGAAGAAGAGAGAGGGAGGGAGAATCGGCGACTGAGAGGATTTCTAGGGTTTGCGAGCAGGCGGGGAGGAGTGGGGTGGCGTGGGGTTTGGTTTTGATCTCCCTTTTTAAAAATTGTGGAATTTTTTTCTTATTTAGTAACCCAACTTTCAATGTGTTAATGCTCTTTTGGTTTTATTTTTTTTTTCATTCGATTAAGAACAAATTTACAAGAAAAAAAAATCTGGTCGAAAGGTTCACGACAATCGCCCACGCATCTACAGTGGACTTTTAGTTGCTGCCGTCGGCAAAAAGAAAAGGGTAAAGCCAAACAAAAAGAAATGAAAAAAAATTCAAAAAAATATTAAAAGATTATAGAAAATGTCCACTTCAGCGCCGGCCGGCGTCCACACCAGCGATTTCCGACCTAAATTGATCGGATGGACTGAATTGGTACCAATGTGAAAAGGTTGATAACTAAATTTGTTCAATTGAAATATTTATGATTGGATTAATATTAATAGATTTAGAAATTTTTTGGAACATTTCGCCACATGAAATTACATTTTTATGTTTTTTCCCTATATAAGTAATTGAATGATTTTTTTATACTTCTTCTATAATTATCATACATAACAATCTCACACAATCGTGATCTTACAATTATTATTCTGTAAATCTCATACCATAATTACTTAAAATCACCTTAGATTTGCCGTAAATTCGAAATAATTTCTACCATTTAGTACAAGTTCAGCGTCCCCCAACCTAACACCACCACCGAAAGCCAACCATCTGCGCCATACTCCGCCACCACCGTCAACAACAGTTGTCTGCCCCCACAGCCACCAAAGCACCGCTGATGTCCCCTCCGCCGCCGCGGCAGAGCTTCTAAACCACCGACAACAACAGTCCAATCCCAAACTCGACCTCCACCACCACCACCATCAAGCGCTTCGTGCTTTTTTTTTTATTTTTAACTTTCTCGGATTTGAGTTGGAATAGATTTTTGGAAGGCAGAAAATTTATTCGTTTTAAGTCGGGCGAAAGCCACGGAGTGATATAGAAGCGGGCAGGCGGTGGTTGTGGGTTATTGCCTGACCTCAAGCTCAGGCATTGATAACAGCAGAGAAATGAGCTCAGGCATTCATCTATATATATATATATATATATATATATGCGCGCGCGTGCGCAGATCGGTAACTCCTCAATCGAACCTCCCAAATCGAACTTCACATAATTCCAAATTTATGACTTAACTTTAAAAATTACTACGCTTGAACGAATAATTGGCTCGAATACTTACCTGGCGTTGCAATTCCGAGTTGATTCGACTTGTCGAGACATCCTCTCTTTTTCCCTTTTTCCTTCTTCACGGACGAGCTTCTTTGGTTTTACCATCCAACTCTCCCTCTCTTTTTTGCCGTTCACGAAGCTTCCTATTGTACGGTTGCCCATTTAGTCATAAACTTGTCAATCTTCTTATTTAGCATGCTAAACATTGTCCTAATATCGAATAGGATTTTTCATATCATCCCATGAATTGAATAACTTCATTTGCGATTGCTTCCTAGTGAAACACAGAGTCAAGGAACCGAAAATAATAATAAACGGCGTGTTCCAATCTGCTTGCTAAGTAATGAGGAGAGATTTGTTATAAGTGCATCATAACGGTTCACTTATAAAAACAGTAATACCTTCCTCTAGCTTTTAATTTTCTCTACATATATTGCGCATTCCACTTAAGTGGGTAATCATATTATTGCTAATATCATCCAACTTTACAAAACGATGACCCGTGAACTCTGTAGTCTAATGATAGTATAAAGTCGGGGTCGAGACGACGGGAGATTCAACTCCAAGATAGATATCGGGAGTGTCCAACAAAGCAACCACCTTGCCGCTGCTCATCGGAAAATTCCGAAATGTGAATACACTATTTTCACAAATTGTTGAACCGGTCACGAAAAAGATAATGTAGTACACGTTTCTATACATGGAAAATGGAGACGAAGGGGATATGGGATCCCATGCCACTTTACATTAATAATTTTAGAAATTAATTAGTTGAAAATTCAATGATTCTAGGTTAAATATACTTAATAAGCATACGAAATATCCATAAAAATCGTAATTACGACTATATGTTGTTTTCATAATATAAAACGAAGAGGATTCGACGCGTGACCGTATCTGTCGGCTGAACTACACGTGCATCGCTACTTGCTCGCACCAACTCTTCAAAGAAAACATGTCAGGTGGTGACTGCGCCTAGTCATGGCCACGGACCGATTTCGGCCCGGTCAAACCCGGGCCCGGCCCGTTGACCGGGCCTGCGGTTCGGAACCGGGCCCGTAGGCCACATTTCGGCCCTGAACGTGAACCGGACCTAAACCGACCCTGAACCGGAACCGGACCTAAACTGACCCTGAAAAAATTAAAAAAATTGAAAAAAATTTTAAAAAATCGGAATCGGACCTAAACCGACCCTGAACCGGGCCGGTTCCAGCCCGGAACCGGGCGGTTCCGGTTCCGGTTCATACCTGGCCAGTGGCCAGGAACCGGAACCGCCGGTTCCGAACCGGAACCGGCGGTTCCTGAACCGTGGCCATGACTAACTGTGCCGCACTCGATGCGTGTGCATTGCACTGTTTTTCACCAAAGAGGCACAAAGAGACGAGTCTCATGTGATGTGGGCGGATGATTCGACAAATCCAAACGACAATAATTTAATCTGCTGATTATAAAAGAAGATTAAGAAAAGAAAAGGCAAGATACTTTACATGTTCTAGCAAATCACGACAAAACGACAAGTGTAGATTCCATTCTCATGGTCTTCTGCTTGTCTAGTTTCTACATTATCTATGATGTCTCTCTGGCTAGGCTAAGACATTATTTAATCATTCGATTCTCTTTAATTCCTCCCCCATTCATCAATCGCAGACACACAGAGGTGAATGTCTAAACACGTTGGGGCTCGGGGGAAAGAGGGGAAAGTACGCTAATCTGGATAAATTAAGTATGGATGGACCACTGGGCATATGACTCTATTGGTAAAAAAAATTAGGGGATAGGGCCAGAGAATATTAGGTCCGAGATTTGATTCTCGTGAGTACCGCATACACATGTATAAAAAAGAGATGAGCGATAAAAAAAAGTATGGATGGAAAATGAATTTAGTACGAAAAAATGTGACGCGGCATTAATTGGACCCGAGAGGTGTCCAAAGGTCAACCTTGTCGGTCTATACAATCTTGGAGAGCAAGGAAGGGAGGGGAGCACACCGGGAGGAATCGACACAAATTCGCACGACGGAGGGGACATTTAATATCATCTTGGGACGAATTTTGGTTGGAAAGATCCAACATGAAAGGCTTATATAGCGTCATGGATGATGTTTTTGCGGTTTGACGTTGGATATCTCATTAGATTTGTGAGGAAGATTCCCCCTTAACCCCTTGGCTTGTATTAGAAGTCTCCAGTCTTCTATTCTCTCCCTCCATCGCCAAAATATAATCATCTCGACCCGAGTCGAAATAGGAAGTCGCCGCCGCTCCCAAACTAAAGAACGGGCACAAGACGGCAAGAAAAAACCGTCCGTTAAAAATTCAAAAACCGCGACGACGCATCAAAGAGACCTGGCGATTGCTTTGCGAAGCCCGTCGACGGGCCCTTTTAGGGACGACTGCCCTGGCCGTCCCTGGAGAAATGCATTAGGGATGGCCGCTGCCTTTCTCCTTGCTCTCTGATTTGACATCTTGATGATATTATTTGACGCAAACTATAGATACGCTTGCTCCATGATGCGATCGAATCAAAATGAGCCGAATGGATCCTAGGGAAAATTGTTAAGGACTTCACCTTCTCAGTCTTTTTTTAATTGCCTGAAATACAAATTTTTTAGGTGGCATGAAGCACTTCTTTGCTAAGATTATTTGGGCAGTGACAGTGATCAGTAACGTCGTGATGGACCTGCAAGTGACTAGGAGACAGACAAACTCAAATTGTTCACTTCAACCTGGGAAGGGACAAGTGCTCGAACGTAGGAATATTGCTATATATATGAGGCAGCATAATCCCACCAATGACTAATATGTGCTCTGGAATATTGGCTTGGTTTAATTGATCGCTCTTGACGACTGAGGTCGTCCATCGTCCAGCTTCCTTGGCTTCATCAGCTAGTCCTGAAGTCATTCCTTTCCGCATGTTGATTTGAATAATTAATGGCTTACGCCGGTGTAACATCCGTTTAATTTGTAGCATCTGGTGCCACCGGGAGCACAGAAGATGCTCAAAGCCAGGTCTCTGTCGCGATGGCTTGCTCGCTGGATCGACGGTAATGCTTCCGACTGTTCTGTGGGGCACTTGCACTATCGTCGGAAGATGCGATATCGAGAAATCAACCACCGTGGATCAAAAGGATACGAAATTATTCAGCTTAGCTTGTACCATCTGAACTCTATTCTTATGCACCATGATCATACTTAGCGTTTTGGATGCCCACTGAATAAAAGACATGAAGGTCAAAGCTCTGCATCAGTTCCTCTTTGCAAAATTCTGCTCCATGGCATGCTTATCAAGCCGAACGATACTTCACAGATAAATATTTAGAGAAAGTAGGCTCCTCAAAAGATCATCTTTGAGTGTTTCAAGTGAAGCAATTGCATGATTTTTATATTTGTATGTCACATCTGAAGCAACGACCTTTCCCCCATCCGAATATCTCAATAGCTTTACCCTTTTGTACTAGGTTTTGCAACAGAACTTATGACTGCAACAATTTTGAAAATGACCCTTGCTATAGGTTGTCCATTTAGATGCACCTCACATTATATCTCAAATAACAGCGACTATCGCAGAATCTGGAGCTAACAGAGACATCTGGACAAGATATGCAGCAAGAATGATGATGATCTCTATAATTCCATTCATAATAGTCCAACTACCGATAATTGGTTTCTTTCAATGTTTCCATGTGTTTGTTGCTTCCTTACAGCCTCTACCAGGTAATCCCACTGTCATTCAGCAAAACATCAATGCTCGCAAGTCTACTAGCTGTCACAGTTCAAGCCACATCGACAAATATGACATAAGCGGATGTGCTCTGAATCCTGGCCCTTTGGACAACAAAAAATAATGCAGGTTTTCCGGCCAAGAATCTATAGGAGGATACTAAGAACGCAGGCATATCATATGCCCAGCTCAGACGCAATAATACCAAACTAACAGGAACACTAAGGTTTGCCCAAAATCAAGAACCTGTATATGAACAAAATGTGCAAAGCAAAGAAAGAACTCCTGAGAAGTTCGTTCATTGCTCCACTGGGCCACCAGTTGTAGCTGCTTCTGAGAGTTTTTCTTCCCTAGGAGGAGCAGCAGCTGCCGGTGTCGCTTTCCGGGCATTCATCATCGTTTCATAGGATTCCACAGCTTTGTCAAGGGCTGCACACGTCTCCAAGGCTTTTCTTTCATACGGACCCTTTTCCTGCATAAAAAGTGGGCGGAATCAATATAGTATTCATAGCAGTTGGTTTTTTTCTCGGGCTTCACAGCTTTTGTGAGCTAATGCGTAATCTTACAGCTTCAGACATCGAGTTCCACTTATCCTCTGCAGCTTTTATGACCTGCACGCCATTTCAAGCACAACTACTTATGGTCTGAGAATCGAGACAGCTAAGGCAAATTAATCATCAGTAAGCTATAAGACCGAAGAGCATCAAGGTAATCCGAAAACAACAAACAGAGACCGGTCTCCGCCTAATTGCGAGCGTGAATGCAAAAGCAGCAACAGCGAGACGCACGGTAGCAATTTGGGTTCTCTCTTACTGAAAATGAGACGGTTGGAATGAAGCACATCGAATCTCGCTGATCGATTCGCAATCCAATTTTTTTTCGCAACCAAGTAAAACTAACTATTGGGATCAGCAGTGCCTGAAACTCGGTAATGCCGAGAATTGCAACGTAGGGACGACGCAAAAGATAAAGAACAGTAAACGCAAGGTGACTTGAGAGCGAGACTCACGACAGATTCGCATTCCTTGCTCTTCATGAAATCAAGCCTGTCATCACCCATAAAACCATACACGTCAAAAAAAAAAAAAAAAAAAAACCGCGACTAATGGTAACACAAAAAAAAAAAAAAAAACAACCAATCAATTAAATCAGTTAAATCAAACCAAGCGCACTCACATAAAAATGACAAAAGACGTGGGAGGAGGACGCTCTAGCACCGCAGTAGCAGAGCTGCTGGTGCCTCCTTCTTTCTTCTTCGAGATATCCTTCCGTGGGTCAAGCACCCTTGTGAGAACGAAGAAGGAAAAACGAAATGAAACACAGAGAGAGATATCCTTGGGCAAAAAAAACAGAAAAGAAAAGGGAATGAATTGGTCGAGCCTACTCTGGGGATGGGCGACGTTTCTTCTCCAACACCGGGGGCGCTCTGCCGGCTCTCTTCGCCGACGAGGAGGTCTTGCTGGCCATGTAGTCGGAATCCGCGTCGAGGATGTGCGCCTTGGGGGAGAAAAGGGGGGAAGAAGAGAGAGAGGGAGGGAGAAGGAGAACGAACAGGCATGACAACAGTGCTTATGCCTGCGGCAAAACCTTTATTATATGGGCACAAAATCCGAAAGAAAAATCTGAATTATGATTTTTTCTTTTTTAATTTCTTTTTTTTCTCTCTCTCTCTTCGACGCTTTGCCGTTTTTATTTTTACTTTCAAGGGAAACGACGTTAATTATCAATTAATCTTTATTTTGTTCGAAAAGGGGGAAGAAAAAACACAGAAGAGAATAAGAAGAGAATATGGTGATGTCGTAAACTGGAGGAACGATCATGGCATGATCACTATGTCCACAAGTTAGAGCGCGATATCCAATCACTCTCAAATTCGTTGCAAGTAATGTCCATTTATTCAGTCCTAAACTTTTCAATTCTTCTTATCTAATCCTATTCACCTGCAACAAAATTCCAATCCAGTCCTTTCGGTGCTAACATGATAGCGTGCAGCGTAGGACGGCCGACGGTGACTCAACCGCCACGTCAGCGGTTCTCGAGGTAAACTGGTCGGGAGGATTCACATTGAAACTTCGCGTAGAGATTCGGATCTAAATTAGTAAAATCGAAAAGTTTATGACCGATCGGATTATTTTCCCGCGATAATTCATATATGATTTACTTGTTCGATTATTCGCCGTTTTTCCTGATTTTCTTTTTTATTTCGTTCCGATTGTTTCATTTTGGTTATTCAAAAAATCGCTTGACCATCTTGATACTTAAGTCGAACTTTTTAGAAGAGAAAGCTACCCGTTCATTATCAAAGGCCCGGACCGCCGATCCGATGAAGCAACTGGGCACGGGGTTGCCGGGTACCCGGCTTCTTGTCCTTCGGCAAGTGCCCAACTTATCCTGGGCGGACACGCGGTGGTCGCACCAATCTCTCGAAACACGAGATTCAAAGTCCCTTTTTGACCCCATTTTCATAAGTTACATACTACAACAATAAGAGTAGAGTTTTCTCTACATAAAGAGTTGTTTGAGTGAATTTTGACTTGGGTCATTACACACAAGTGCAACATCAGCAGACACAAAACGAGGAGTTGTTGACTCAACCCTACTGTTTGCTACGCAGCTAGAATTCTAAACAGGTAGTAACCGCAAAGCAGTTGCAATAGATCGAAATTCAATTGCTGTCGAAGCGACGCTGGCCCCTATCTCGATGGAGCTTCGGATCATACTTTTGCGACACTGCTTACAGATTGCAGCCCCGCTCCGAGGAACATGTAGATCCCGTGTGTCGTTTCTTGACTTGCCTCTGACAGAAAGCTTTCATCCTCTGGTGGCCGTCTTCGAGAGAAGATGGCTCGTCGGCGAAGGTTATGCGCAGCCAACTCTTCGTTCCCAAAGCTATCCCTGCGAAAAGAACGTGAAAACATTGCCCCCCTTCAGCTTTCTAATCCGATAAAATATGACGACCTTCGATGTCGCCCGTCTCGTGACAGTAAAGCACGTTTCATTTCGTCGAGTATGAGAAGCAGGCTTCATCTGGCAGGACGACGACGGATTCTTCCCTAGCCAGCTTGACGGAGAAATCCAGATCGTCCTCTACGTCCTCCAACAGCGATGAATTCAACTTGACCTGTCACGTTGTTTTGCAACTTTCAGCTCTTACAGAATGGCAAAAGCTAAATCGCTCGAGCAACCCCGTGAGTGCCGCAACCACGTGAATGAAAGTGTGCGCTCGCACCATAGCAAACATGGGCCCTTCGGGCCTTTTTGGGCACGCGAGGCAAGGCACCTCTCGGATCTTGTCGTGACATATGTCCACCGCCTCTCTTAGCGTGCGAAGAACTTTCGAGAAGAATTCCTCATCCGTTTTCTCGAGTATCCGAGGGATCGCCGCCTGTCGTGATTTCAAATCGCAGATGATTAGTTCTTCGATTAGGACAATGCCAATCATCATAATGAATCCGGTTTATTACTGAGATAGGAGCTAATGTACTTGAACAAAGGTTGCGGGATCGGGGGATACATTCAGAAACCCTACAATAGACTCGACAACCTGAAAGTGATCAAAAGAACAATTTCGTCATTCTTCGAGCAATCAACCATCCTTCATATCATCATGCCAGAAAGAGAGAGAGAGAGAGAGAGAGAGACCAACCCCGGCATCTTTCAGAAAGCCGTTCGGATCGATCGTCGCTACCCAACCGAGTCGCCAGCCGAGGACTATCCACCTCTTCGATAGGGAACCCTCCGTCAAGACGGGCGCGATCGATGCAAAAACACCCATGGGCACGAATGGCATATCCCCGAAAGCTAGATGATTGTAGACTTCATCCGCAATCACCATAATTCCAAGCTTCCTAGCCGTTTCGGTGATCTAATTGGAAGTAAGATAAGAAAAGAATGAGCAAAGTTAGGGTTGGTCCAGACAACAGTACATTTATATGCTACACGTAAATTTTTTCTATAGTCCGTGAGATTTGGATAGCACATTTAGGCTAGACTATGAACTAACATGCTAGTGTCTCGGTCCGAATTCTCCCATACCCATGTGGGCTAAAAAGTGTGGCTTTGTGGCACAGGGGTGAAGAATGAAAGATGTAGAAGGGGTGGTTCGTGGGATTGGCGGCAAATTGTTTATGCTAGGAATTTATGGATGTGATGATTATCATTTTAGAGGATCTTTAAAAGCAAGGTTAGCTCCGCTCTCCTGATGATGATCACGGCAGGCTGAAATCAGCTTTTTTGTTGATGCGATTTGTATGTCTACTCGAGAGATTGAATGCCCGAGCTAAATTGGGTGTGGTACGATCAATTATGAGAATGCGATTCTTCGTACTGTTCTTGGAAACGATCTATCGAGGAAGGCTGGCTTGGTGTTCTGGCTCTCTAGGTGCTGCAAGTGCTTGTCCTTGCCCAGGTGAACAGCTCATAAAATAGTTTACCTCCTTCAGATGCTGGTAGTTGAAGACGATTCCACACAGATTCCCAAGATTGATGATCACCATTGCGATGGTGTTCGCGTCCGCAACATCCTCCACGCGCTCGAGATCGACCTCCCAGCCCTCGTTGGGGAGGAGGTCGAAGTACCTCACCTTGAGGCCACAGAGCGCCGCGCGCGCGACATAGCACGGGTATCCGGGCCTCGAAAGAAAAATGTTGGCTCCGGGGCGGGCGACAGCCGTCACTACGACTTCGATGGCCTGCGTGCCTCCTATCGTCAAGTAGACATCGTCCGGTGATAGTTTGTGAGGGTGGTCATGCGAGAGATGATCGGCAATATCCCCTATTGAAATTTTTAAACCTCGAGTTAGCCTTAGCTTACTAAGAATCGACATCTTTGCATGTGTATTGCTGCATAATTGATGTTGCTTACTACGGATAATAAAATCATCATCACTCTAGGTCATGCCTCAGTATTACCTCCTAGCGGGAAGAATGCCGACGGTGGGGGTGTAGCAGTTGAACTCAGCCGAGCGGACTGCATCGACGACGGCGTCCTCCGCAATGCGTGCCATCCGGAAGCACAGGAACGTCGAGGGGTCCCCCTGGCCGAGCGGGACGACGACTCTGCCGTCGTCCCCGTCGAGGCTCTCCATCACGCGGCTGAGGACACCGCGGACTGTGATCGCCGACGCCGCCACGAGCCCGCCGTTGCCTCGGAACGTCCACTCGGTCTTGGTCTTGTTCTGCATTAGTACCGTCATTTCGGGATCGATCGAGAGTGCGGTCGATCAGCAAACGTCGAGATAAGCTCGTGCTTTGTGTTTCGCGTGGTGTCCTTGGAGGATGCTCCGGCGGCGTGCATATAAATAACGTGGAGGTCAGGGTACGGACAAGGGCAAAACGACGTCGGACGACGAGATACATGTGAATCCACGTGGTCGGTCCGTTTCACATCTCTAAACTACGCATACTAGAATTAAACTAAGGTGACCAAAAATTGACCAAAAGTATGGAGCGAGTAAAGTTCCGAATGCCTTCCGATGCCTTAGACTTCGTTGGTTATGTCAACTTAATTAATTAAAAAGCATAATCCATTATTAAAGCAACGAACCTTTTCCAAAAATTAGTAAATCAAAGCATTCAGGAAAATAATAAGTCAATCTTTTTTTTATGGGAACATACGAATTCATCGTGTCTAATTGCTGGGAGTAACTTGAAAAATTGTATTGAGGAAATCTCAATCTTCTTAATCTCGTGCGCAATCAACCTATTCCTACCGCTTCAATCTATATTGATTTCGGGAGGGTCATATTGCTTCCTATCAAATCAATCGGAACATTAACGCGCGTGCATTACCACGTGAGCATGCTACTGTCTACTAGCAATTTCTCGTTACATACAAGACTACGATACCCCGCTTATTTAGATATCCAATCAAACGTGTCGTATTGTTCAGTGTATAGCTCGGGTTATGGAAGAAGGAGAAGAAGGAGCCGCGAAGAAGAAGGTATCCGCAATAACGGGTTTGATTGCGGGGCAATTTTTCCAAATTAGTACGCGTTGGGACGTGCAGCGTTTTTTTTTTTTTTTAATTACGATATAATTCCACGCGCGGTCTTGCCGCTTCAGTCAAGCTTGTATCTTTCCCAATACAGATATATTGTCGCTATCAACACAAATAAAATGACGCACGATGATCTTTAAATTTTTATGACGGGAAGATATATGATAGAAAATATCGCATGAAGTCGCATTTTTACTTTTTGGCACTGAAGAAGTAATTGAATAATCTTCTATACTTCGTCTATAACTATCGTACATAATAATCTCGCACAGCCGTGATCTATTGTATTCTAAATCGCTTGTCATTCACACTGTATCTATCGTATATACTTGAATCGCCATTGTTTTGACGTAAATTCCGATTAAATTCTATCATTTAATACAGCTTCAGCTTCCACCCGCCACCAACCTAATACCGCCGCCAAAAACCAGCCATCTGCGGCACGCTTCACCACCATCGACAACAGTTGTTTGCCCCCACAGCCACCAACACCCCGCTGATGTCGCCACTGCCAACTCTGCCGAGCTTCCACACCACCCGCGGAAACCGTCTAATCCCCGATAAGGATCTGTTGTGCCTGACCTCGAGCTCAGGCATTGATGACAGCAACGAGATGTGGAATGCAATGAGCTGAGTGGTGGGCGGCAGCGGCGGCGGCGGCGGCGTCGTGGCAGTGGCCGATCCTTTGTTAGTAACAAGTTCTTTCCAAACATGACAACTTTTAGCAATTGGAACCCTACCTGTGTAATCTGATGCCATGAATAACCAAATGAGGCCACGACGTTACGAACGATGTATTTTCTCTTTAGCCCCTCGTAGTACGTCGAGGATGATGTGCGTTCTCGTCAAAAGGGTAAACTCCATTAAGGAAGATTATGATCTTATAATGAATTTGGTGCAATTAACCATGCGAAACCGAATTAGATGCAAAAGTCGAAGTGTTTGGATCTTATGCTTAAATGGATCTTGCGAGCATGGAGATTTAGATAGTTCACAAATCGTCAACACAAAATTAGCCAGACGGGCTACATTGGCAAATCATTAAAAGACATAAAACTTAATTTGCACAATTGAAAGATTTATGACTGAATCGGTACAAGTATAATTAATTTATGAATTTTCTAGTATTTTTTCGAAATTGAATGTGTCGGTCGATGTCATTCGGAGTTTGATGTTGGAGAATGCGAAGCATGGGCAGGAGCATAAAAGTAGGAGAGGCCCCCATGAGCGTGAAGTGAAGGGTGGGTGGGTGGGTGGGTGGGTGGGTGGGATGTAAGCAAATAGGATGGGCAAGTGGGGAAAGTGAGTTGAGGAAGGCCATACCTTACCTTGTTCTTGTGAGGTTTCTTGGGGACAAGTCTCCGCCAAACCCTACACTTTCACCTTCCTCATCTATCCTGTTTCCCTGCAAGGAAGCATGGATCATGGATGCTACATCACTGTGAACCCAAGAGAATAAGGAGGAGAGAGAGACGTAGAAAGAGAGAGACAGACAGACAGACTTTTGGTCCATGCCTTTCTTTTTCCTTGTTATGTATTGCCTACAAAATTATGAGGATCGATTAGATGGAAATTGCGTGCGAAATTCACTCGCATATGCTCGAAGTTCAGCGCACCGATTTCGAGAAAAGGTTACTCGACTTTCAGGACAATGAAATAGGATTACATACGCAATTTCACCACATAAGCCGTAAGGTTTGTTCGTTGTACGGTGTGCAATTAAATCCTTATGGCCCAACACGCGCAATGTGTTCAGATAGATTGCTCAACATTTTTGCAACCTGTTCCTTTCCTGTTGGTTTTGATTTTGCTCAAAGCACGCATGCTATGCCTCAAAGCTGATATCTAAGAGTGGACAAATCACGAAATTCTCCCATTACTCTCTTTCTAGAATTAAGTTGATTTTGTCATTACCCAAAGTACTTTCAATATTTTTCTACATGGACCTACTAGATGGTATGTCATCCTTTATTTTAGAATCACTATGTCATTAAGATACTTATACAAGGAGAAGGACGTCGCACGCCCTATAAATTTTACAGAAGATACTTATCTCTCATTTAGCAAGTCGATCAACTGAAACAAAGTTTGTTCATCAGATTTGTTATTCCAAACAAAATAGGTTTTTCCATTATTTTGAGTCACATAATCTAACTACGCACGAGGTTCAATAAAACAAACTATAAGTTTATAAATAATAAGCAAACGTTTTTACCAAATTGCGGTCCAATCCCAGATGATGAGGATAAGGAAAATGAACGCAAATACGTGCAAAATCTCGAAATTACTAAGGAGGATGCTAGGTTACCTAAGCTCTCGCTGATATTTTCTCTATTGAAGGATATGTATGATGGGAGGTTTTGGTTGAACATGGAAAGAGTGAGAGACTTAACCAAAAGCAATCATTGCGTGCGTTTTGCGAAGGAAAAGTGAAGAATGCCAAAACTCAACCAATCTGCCATGAACGAAAACATTTACACATTAGTTATTATCGTGAAGAAAGGTTTCCAATTTTCCAAATCAAGGTCCAAAAGGAGAGAAATGAAAATTGAACTTGGACCATTCTACCCGAAAGTGCCGACCAAGTTAATAGGTTACGGAATTTGCGAAACATTTTAAAGGTAGTCCGAAATACTCGAAAATCTATTAAATTCAGATGCATTGCTCAGTAACAAGTCTTCGATAGAATGAGCTCAACAGAAATCACCACCACCCACTAAAGCCCGAGATTCTCCAAACTGAATTATTATTTTACTTCGACACGAATTAACATTAATCAAATCATAATCGGCTCAGGACATCAGTCAAAAATTTACAAAAGCTTGTCATCTCTCTCCCTCTCTCTCTCTCTCTCTCCCTGTCTCTCTTCCGACCTCCTTAATTACATCTTTGACTGAAGAAATCCCATCTGAAGCAATCGTCAATACATCAAAAGACAACAATCTAAATTCAAATCCTCAAAACAATATTAAGCAACACCCAAAAAAATTAACCAACAGCTCGGCACATATTTACTCTCTGCTCTTTTACTAGTGCCAACAGACCGATATGTACAGCTCTGGCTTTATCCTCTTCCAAAACGCATCCTCAGTCGCCATCATCATCATCCGGGAATCCAATTCATCATCTCTGCTTTACATCAGGAGCTCGTTCACCCACCCAATGTCCGGATCATCGCAAGAATTGCCTTCATTAGCCTTGTCACCAAACAATCCTTTGTTGCTCGAAGGATCAGCACCGAAAAAATTCCTAGGCACTTGAGGGTGATTTGGGGTTGAAGGTGAAAGAATGAACTGGGTCTGCTCCTCATTCACACTGCTAGTGACATCAACCCAAGGCATGGCTGTCCGGTTCTTGACCGATGACACCGGCGATGAGTGCGGAGGCGAGACTTCGCTCATCTTCATCACGTCCACCGAAGTCATGATCTCGTTCAGGACATCCTTGTAGCTCACAGCCTGGCTCAGACAGCTTGGCTCCAGCCGGTCGGCGTACCGCGAGATCGGCGAGAACCCGCTCAGGGACCGGCCCTTGAGGGGAGATAGGGGTGGTGACAGGGACTGGGATGGCGACAGCGGCGGCGACAGGTGGGACATGCTGAGCAAGGTCGAGGTCGGGGAGGAGGTGGTGACCGAGTGGCAGAACAGGCAGCAGTGAGTCAGCGAAGAAGAAGAAACCGGACTATGGAATTTGGACTTCTCAGGGTTGATCTCTTGTGGAGAGTTGGGCTCGGATTGCGCAGGCAAGAGGCGAAGCTGACGAGCGCTGTGAGCGAAGAAGCAGACCTTCCTCTCGCAGTTCTTGCCATCTTTGCATGCCTCAGTCCTATACCTATATGAGACATTAACACAACGATTAAGATTTGATAAGGATCCGTTGGGTTGAACAAATTTTTCCTCAAATTGAATGCTGTAAAGTTTTCCCAAATTTATTAGAAAGATCAAGTTTCATCACTTCCGGAATATATACTATAAAAGATGACATGCATTGGGAAACAATTACCAAATCGATATTGCAAAACAGGGCTAATAATCACCAATTATCACAATCCTAATTTAAAAATCCAAAAACATACTTTGATGGGTGCAGCCAGCACTCGAAGACGCCGTGCGCGAACTCGCAGTTATCACCGCGGCTGCACGACCCGCGTCGGTACTCGGCGCAGACGGTCCCCGAGTAGTGGTACTTCCGGGGGTCCCTACGGTGAGCCTTCTCTCCGGGATGAGAGAAAGGGCAGTCCGTCCAGTCGTGGTTGCGGCTGCGGGTGCACCGCCTCACCTTGAACTCGAACATGCGGAAGTGGTCCGACGTGTAAGGGTCGGAGTCCTCCTCCTCGTCCTCCCCGCTGTCGTTGGACGGCAGGAACCTCCGGAGCGAGGTCTCGGGGACCCTCGGCGAGTAGTCGGAGAACGCGTCGGGGCCATCGAGAACCGGCGGCGCCGACTGGTGCAGCTGCAGCGCCGCGGGGGAGGCGGTCCGGTGGCCGAAGAGCTTCCTGGGGGGGATGTCGAGGGTCTTCTTGGGGGAGAAGAGCTGGTGGGAGGCGTGGAACTTATGCTGCTCCGCGCAAACGCTGCTCATGTTGAGGGGAACGAGCAAGAACCAGCAAAGAGATCGTGCGTGACAAAGAATTGGGCTAAGGGAGACGATGGATGAGGTCGAACATGAAGGTCGTGTTGTGAAGGAGAGAGATCACGAGGAGTGGCCATTGATATAGGGTGGCTAGAGAGAGAGAGAGGGGGAGGGGGAAAGAGATGACAAGACAAGAATGGTGAGGAGGGTGAGGAGGGTGTGGGGTCCGAATGCGTGGCTGCATGGCATTAGGGATCAGCATGCAGGAAAGGGTACGTGCCGAACCCGCATGAGCGAGGCAGGTGACAAGAAATGGCTATGTGTAATGCTTCAAGACTGTCTAGGGTTCCTTTTTTGGACCCCCCGGGTGCTGACATTTTCAATTCTTTTAAATGAAAAGTCAGATTCCATGAACCGAACTTTGGGTTTCGGGGCAATGAATTCGTACCAAAAACTGGGCCCCGCCGCCAAATGAACGGCTGGAGTTTGATCTGATGATTTTTTTTTGTCGGCTTGGGATGGATGAAGGGATGCTCGGATGCGTCCACGTGGACGGGGTTCCCATCCCAAGACCTTCCTTCACGTTGAGATCACATGAAGGGGCGATGGGTATTGAATATCGATGAGGTCAAGAGCAGACGGAGACAAAAGGGAATTGAGGTGAATGGTTTTATGTTACGCAACAAACGCTGTCCTAGAATTCTACGGATTGTGGGGATTTCAGTGCGCTGCTAAGCGTTTTCTCATATTACTACTGCCTGAGTACCGACGAAAATGTACGGATCTCGACCAAAATGATAATGACAAAGTGTAGTTAAAGTTGGGCGTGAAGCTTGTTGGCGCTTCTACGGATTGTTGGGATTTCAGTGTTCCTTCCTAGTTGAGGAAGAGATTGGCCCTTAAAAGTAAATCTGGTCTCTCTTTCCAGATTCAATGCGCAATTACGTCTTATTGCAGTCAGCAATTGACATGTTGTGCAAAGACGAAGAAAGTAGCCAAAAGGAAAAAGGGGACAAGTTCGGAAGGACCAGATGTGCTCGAACTCATTGGAATTGCTGGAGGTTTTAAGATAAGACTCACCCAGAAACATAATTTATTTAATTTGGTTGGACTGAAGTTCTCGAGCATGTCCTTCAAGCTAAGTAAAAACTGCTATCTCTCTCTTTCTCATGTTGCAGCCCACCAGTACAGCAAGAACCATCCAACAGACATGGTATCATGCTAATACTGGTGGCAAGAATCGTCAACGGTATTTGCAAAAGAGAGATCTCTAGAAACAGTTTGAAGAAACCCAAAATCGCAGAGTTGATCCTGGTTTTGCAGCATCACCCTTTGAAGACCACTGGCTTAGCGAAGCACAGCGCTTCGCTTTAGGTAAAGGGCTTATGGGTCCATTGCATGTGATGGCCAAACATAATGGTATCTGCACAAGCCCAAAATCGACGCGTTTTCAAGTGGTAAAAGTAATACATTGAGGCCAACCCTATGCCTCCTTCCACGCATACAGATCACAAAAATTTGATTACCAAACACAGACATCATTGCAACTTTACAACTATACAAGAGATGTCATCCTTGCTGTTCCTATTGAGAGCTTCGTCTATCAGATGTTTCGCAGCCAACTCAGCATCCTTAATGTTTTTGATAGAGTCCACTGCTTCCTGATTCGACATCACCTGGCCGGACATCAACGAAGATATCAGAGATCTAGTCTTTAAAACGCATGCATATGATCGCATTGACATGTGCATAATCAGCTTCTCATATGGGTCTCTTTTCAGCTTAGAGCTTAGACTATGCTATCATCTTTATCACCTTATCCTATAAATAAAGAGCAACAGGAAGAGAGAAGGAAAGATCTAATGACGATCGGTATTAGGAGGACTGACCTTCCATATCCCATCACTAGCCAGTATGATGAATTCAGATTCATCATCAATCATCTCCATTGCAACATCGGGTTCAGAACTCAGGTGGATCTTTAAGCTTTTATCACCAAAGGCCCTTGCTACAGCCAGCTGACCGTCAACTCGTGGAACATCTCCTGCAAGCGCAAATAGGTGTTAAACCTCCCACATAAAGTTGTGCTATTGCTGGTCTTATTTCTTATGTTTGTGGGGATCTGAAAGACATAAAGGCTAGCTCCTACTGCAGCTTCTTAAGTTTTTATACCCAGTTAAAGCTTTTCCTATGATTATCCATCATACCAACACTAAGTAGGAAACTTGGAGAAACACTCCTAATGTATAAGCTCGATATTCATACCCGTCCTTAGTACGAAAATAATATGTAACACTTCTTCAAACAAGGTTACTGGCCCTCGCAGGGAACACTTTATCGCACAATGCGAGTCCTATAAAGGAGCTTTACTGCCTGGCAATCAAATTCTAGATCACGCGAAAACCAGTACACGACAGTAAAGGAAAGCACAAGAATATTTGGCATGAATTTCAGTAGCCACATACCAGGAATATTGGATACAAATCCACCTCGGCTTTCAATCGACCTTTTTTCCTTGTTTGGCTCATGATCAACTGATAGTTGTTTGGCTACACCATTCTTACATATGACAGCACGAGAATCTCCTACATTTGCCACCACCAAACTCTGGCCATTAATCAGAATTGCCGTCACTGCAGTTGACCCTCCTTTTCCTAAGACAAGTGCTTTCTCTAAGATTTCCTTGTCCGTTGTATGATAGGCTCTCCTTATTGCGGCCTCAGTATCAGCCCAGAAGTCTGGCTGCTCATAGATATAATCATTCTATCAAACGTTTGACACTTACTTATCAAAGGGAAACAGAGATCAACAAAGCAACATAGAAATAACTGCAAAAATTTAATGGCCAGAGGTTAAATGAACTAACATGCATTACCTGCTTCAGAATACTGTCAAACAAATGCGTTTGCAGGTAACTTGCAACATCGTGGCCTAAATGACCATCAAATATTGCAAATAAACCCAACTCTTTTGCTTCCACATTCCTGAAGTCGCAAACTGCATAATCTTCCATGGCATGATTCGACTTTCCCTTGATTAAGTGAAAGCCGTGGGTGATGTTCTTAGAACCCCTGCTTTTACCCTTTCCTGTGTCTGGCAAGCATAAACTTAACCCGGCTTTCACCTCAAAAATATAAAACCAATAGTCTCTTAGGAAAAGAGTGAGAAATGGTCAGCATCAAAGCCAATTACTACGAAAGAAACTATTCCCAGTAACCATATATTCAGTTCTTCTTGAATAAGCAAAGGATACAAGTAATATCTGAACAGCCAGATTATACGAAACCGAGAGTTGCCATTACATTAAAAAAAACAAAGGTGTATGACTCGAGGAAACCATAAATCATATGCATATGCTTCTCCTAATTCGTGCAATCTAACCCTAAAACTCAAATTAAAAACCTCCATGCAAGAAGCATTGACGAAATATACTAGCACAGGTAGCTAAGCTAACAGAATTGCTAGAAAGTCAAACACTGGAATAAACACAGTCACAAACTATAACAGAATTTCGATCAAAAAAAAAAAAACTATAACAGAATTACCACATGGAATGCTACACATTCTGCTATTTTTACTGATGGAAACTCTCTCTGCAGTTCTTCATGTAGTCACTACTCACAAGTCACTACCTCTTATTTTGCAATATATTTTACTTCCCTCGCATATGACTGTCACATCTGAGATTTTTTTTACAAGTTTCACGGAATGACTGATCAAGGTTTAAATTCTCTGTTCCACCGTTACTTGATAACTACCAATGCCAATACAATATGTAGTTTTTGAAAAGAGCATGATCGGCCACTTCAGCAAGCCTTCTGCAACATAATTGGAAGTTTGCAGCACTCGAGCAAAGTTGTAGAGGTACAGAGCAACATAATTTGAAAACGCTGTGAAGCGAGGGCAAGCACTTTTGCATTTCAACACACTTCATCACTAAGGTAATGTATTATGTACCCTTAAACTGCGGACGATACGCAAATTTTAATAACCCACAGGAAGCTCGAAGGCATCGATGGACAACACAGTTCGTCCCGAAATCCCAATCAATCCCCACTATGGGGACTACAGAGTAGATAGACAGTGCGTTGGTATGAGAATCGAACTTACGATAGAATGATCTGAGCTCCATCTACCGATTTATATTCAAGCAACCGCAGACACGTTTCGTCAACAAGATTTCATGTCAAATTCAACAAATGGTACTACGTATCTCACTGTAGGTAACCAGGGCATCAAAAATCTAACGACAGCAATCAACGTGCTCTGGACGACAGCACTTGGCACCGTTCGTCACGATTAGAGCCCTAAAAGACCGATCGGGACGTAACCGCCGCAAGCCCGCGCGAGCCGAATTCGGAACACGACGACGCCGACAGGCTCGAGCGATAAACGCCTCGAAGCCGAGATGCGCGCACCTCCACGCCGACAACCAGTAACCACGAATCAAACTAGCAATCGCCGGCGTAGCGATTCGCCAAATCCGCATTCCACCGTCGCGCGCGCGCGCGCGCGCGCGCGCCACAAGCGGGCAAAAAGAGCCGCTATACGTAGCGCGTAGGAACCAGCTCAACGTGCTTTGATTGCTCGAGGTAAAACGAACGAGACAGATAGATGCAACCAACCTTCATCTTGTGCAGGATTTCTCTGCCGTGCATGGCGATCGTCGTCTTCCGCAAGGCTTTGCGCGCAGAGAGAGAGAGAGAGAGAAGAAGAAGAAGAAGAAGAAGAAGGAGAGAGAGAGAGAGAGAGAGAGAGAGAGAGAGAAGACTGGTTTGAACGAAGGAGGTTGACTTAGAAAATTTTCGTGGGCGTTTAATCGTTCGTTCGTCCGTCCATGTCCCCGCCCCGCGTTTTGGAGGATGACGCGTCGTTCCCGACGACTTTGTTTGACTTTGGTTCCTTCGAAGAAAACGAGCAGTGCGTCTCGTCGGTTTGTTGCCCACGCAGAAGGAAGGCTTAGAAAAAACGACTTGCAGCAGTCGGTAACTACCAGGAGTTACAAATAGCAATGTTAGGCAATAATTTGATAACTAGAAGTAACCTCGGAGTTTCCGATCAGGACATCGGTCGGTCGGTCGGTCGATCGGTCAGTCGGTCGGTCCTGGTACCCATATTTATATTTTACACGTATGTTTTACTCATGTTGCAGATTTCGGCTTAAATGATCTGATGTACAGTTAAATTCAGGGATGATGAGATCGGACACGTATGAGATTCGCTTGAAAAATCTGAGGCAGATAAGATCGTCATCAGTGTGCAACTTGATCAACTTGAGTACCTTTCTGTGGATTTTTAAGCAGTCATGGACTTTGTCAAATATGGTGACTATAACGACAGCTACCGTTCACAGATTTTTCTTTTCGAGTACAGAGGGAAGACTCCGTGCATTGGACACATACAGTCCTTATTCATTAGTCGACTCGAGCTCAATCAATCCGGCTCATCCCATCATTTTCACTTGTCTTGTCGTGCCCCAGGAATAACCCTGCATGAGCACAAGGTGAAGATAATTTACTGCAGTGGACTTTATAATCAGAGTGCATGAGGAAGTGGAAGAGGGGAGCAGGAAGGGCTTCTTTACATCGAGCAATTCATGGCATTGGAAATCGGGAAGCTGAGATGCACTTGACACTTCCTACGGAGATTGTCGATCCGGGAGGGGATGTATGGGGTGTCTGTCACGTACGCAATGTCCTCGATGCACTGGCACAACAGTTCTGGGCCGAACTGGTTCTGTTTGGCGAGGTTGTTGAGGGTTAGCAGGTTGTTGCAACAGGCTGTCGGGGGCTTGGGGGCGACCCCTCTGAGGAAGTCCATGCAATCGGCGAATTGCTGGTACACGTCGACGCAGAATGTGAACTCGTCACCCCTGGACAACACGCACAAAAGGAGAAATAGACTAAGATGGATTACACTGATGCGGACCATTGCTGATCTACCTAAAGCCCGAGTACCTTTTGCTTTTTCGTTTGCAATTTGTGCTCTAGCAATCTTAATGGTGAATACAAATAAGAGATGTTGCTTAATGTATTGGTCAGGGTCGTTGGCCATGTTATTGTCATGATCCAGGATTTGCTGCGTTGTTCGCGGAAACAATGAATTGATGACAAAACACTGAGAAGTTTCAGTTTACGTGGGGAAACTTGGGAACACCATATTGGGGTAATCAACAGAATTTTCTTTTTTTGCTCTTCCTGTCTCAAATGGTTTAAAGGTAAACGCCGAGAGTCCATTTAGTGCGAAGAGAGAAGAGTGGAGACGACTTCTGATTGTTTTCATTGAACTCTTCTCCAGCACGATGCACTGCAGACTGCAGAGTCGGCAAATTTTAAAACACTTCAGGATATAATGGCCGAAAATTTCAGCAACTTGGAGTAACTAAATGGATCTGTGAAAGCTGAGGCCCTAAAGAACTACCTTGAGCAACAAGTGACATGTTAAATTCTGTACGAGCGAGGTATAGAGCTGGGTTACTAGGTATATTATCAGCTAGATCTATCTTAGCAAACTTTTAATCAAGCTTCTCTAGTCCCAGAAGAGCTTTTGCAATCTGCCGACCTTGCTTAATGTTCAGATTGAAGATTTACTTGCCTTTGCATTTTGTCGTCAAGGGACGATGGCGCTGCTGTTGTGTTTTCAGCAATGTTGGCTCCTTCCTGTCATTGACCACGATGCAAAAACCCAGTTGGTGGGACTTGAAGTAGATTGGATAGCATGTGCTGATGTGGGTTCACACAAGAATGTAGCATTCTTTTTCCCTATATTATGACATTGAGCCCTTAAGCGTCTCATTTTTAAGTTGTTGCCGCATTTTTAATGTTACGAGATGGAAATCTTCAACTCACTCTGGGTAAAGGATCACTTTTGTGGGTTAATGAGGTTCTTGCTAAACCGGTGTAAACGGATAGGCCACTTTTAGTCTGATTCATGTGAACCAATGAGAACCAATGTAATGATCAGTTCTTAGCGACTTAGCATGGTCAAGCATGTTCTTGCAGCACAAGAGAACGAGAAAACAATGCCATGATCAGTATCTTACAAATCAGCTGAACTATTCAATAGCAAGTTAAATTCCACTGCATCAATTTATTCCAAGATATAAAGTAGCCATAAGTCAATTATTCTCCAATTTATGAATACTATTAATTAAGTCAAGACCCCCCAAATTCTTCTCTCTGACAGGACCAATTCTTGCTCAATCCACCTGAACAGGCTCTTCTTGAGTTATCCTCCTAGTGAACCCTGCAACAGTAGAAACAACTGTTGTCATGAAATCATGTCCTTCATCAGAGAGAAAGAGAGAGAGGACTAATAATCTCTACCTAGAGCAATCCATGCTGGAGGAAATGGGGAAGCTGAGGTGCGTGACGCAGTATTTAGGAAGAGCCTCGATTCGGGAGGCCATTAGTGGAGGTTTCGTTCCGGTCACCATGGCCTCGATGCACTGGCATATCACGCGCGGACCCATCAAGTGATTCGCCATGTAATTGAGTGCCCCGACGCTTCGACAGCACTCCTGAGGCGGGATGAAGTAATTCCCCACGAGAAAATCCAAGCAGTCGGGGAAGTACTCGTCCACATACTTGCAAGTAGGGTCCCCGGAAGCAGCAGCGGCGGCTGAAACTGAGAGTACTATGAGCAGAGTTCGGACAAAGTACGACATAGGAGGCATAGGTGAAAGTTGATCTGTCCTGGTGAAAGTGGTCTTTCACAGTTCACGCATAGAAAGCTTCGGCCCAGTTCGACCGGCCAAGTTTTATAATGCGAAAAGCGTACGGACTAGATGATGCGCGGTAACTCATCGAGGTCATGTGAATTCCATGCTCCGGGATTCAGTAAGATGTGCAGTAACTCCCTAGCAAGGGATAGTTGCGTCGAAATAGATTTCTTCTGAAATCAACCCATCAAAAGTTCATGCCTTTTGAGATTTACTCAAACGGCGCTTCTTCATCTCCTGAAGATCTGCGAGTATATAACTTCCTCCATAGTAGATGTTGCGGAAACTGGTTGAGTTTAAGATGGAGCTCCTGCATTTTCTTTCTAGCCTTCCGAGGATGTCGGAACCGAAAACCTGCCTTAACATACATATTAGAAAAGGCAGTTTTCCTGGGACTAAAGCAGAAAAAATGGTCGACACAACGTCAATCAGGATCGTAAAATACTGATTGACGCGTTTAATCAAATTAGGCCAATTTACAAGTCACATACATTGAAAGGCGGCTATTTGAACCCTTTTTTCTTGAGATAATGACATAAACAGTTCCTGAATATTGGCCCAACGTGCAATGTGGTTCTTGAACTTTTAATTTGTTCAATATGGACCATGAACTTTAACCCAATGTGCAATGTGATCCCAGAACTTTTGATTTGTTCAATATGATTCATGGACTTTTAATACATGTTCAATGTAGTTCCTGAATTGTATGAAAATATTCAATGTAGCCTTAGAACTTGAATTAATGGAATGATTATATTGAATATTTTCATATAATTTGGGGACTAAATTGAACATGTACCAAAGTTTAAGGACGACATTAAACAAATTATAAGTTTGGGGATTACACTACAGATTGGGTTAAAGTTTATGGACCACATTGAATAAATTAAAAGTTCAAGAACCACATTACACGTTGGAACAATGTTCAAAGATTATTTGTCATTTTCGCTTTCTTCTTTTTCATTCGCCTTAAAATTGTTGGTCATTCCAGCTTTGTAACCATAGAGCAAAACAAAGGTTATGGAAAAACAAATAGCGCAGACCATTGCAACCAGCAATCTGCTGGCCAATTTTTGGGTGCCGCTCGCTCGTGTCGGAAGATTAATCTTGAATTTAGGCCACGGAAACGCCCATGTGAAGTAAATATGGAACGACAAGGATCGAATATTCGATGACAAAACACTCTAATAGTTGTCGTGATTTGTGGATATAATTTCTATAAAAAAAAATTTCCCCTTTTAAAATGATCTAGATAAAGTCAATCATTCATTCAGGATCATTTTTGGATAGAGCATGAACATGCTATTGAATTGCTCTTTTTCCATATTCACTAAGCCAAGGACCTTATGCCCCTGGCCACGAAACGACGCCGTTCGGGGTGTCGTCCGCAGTCCACAGTCCACACCGTGGAATATAGCCGTTGGGAGGACACGCTGGCCGTTGAGCGCATTTCAAAATTTTCCGACCGTTGGGGAATCGGGGACGTGCCCAACGTTATACCCACCGCGGCCTCTCTCTCCCCCCCTTTCATTAACCACCAAAGGGCGCATTTTTACGTGATCGATCGAGCACAGAAAGAGAAATCCCTAATTTCCTCGCTCCAATTTCCTTTCTAGTTGGACGGATTCCATCTTCTCTAGATGGCGGTGGCGGAAGACCCGAGTGGCGGTGCCGCGGCGGTGGCGGTGGCGATGACGACCATCGACGAGGCCTACGAGTTCTCCGCGCCTCGCTTCTTCGACTTCATCGACGGGGAGACTGAGGAGGATCGGTGGAAAGCCGAGCTTTGGTTCGAGTCGGCCCTCAGCTACGGCCCTTCGCGTGCGTTTTCTCTCCTTCATCTTCTCTCTCTCTCTCTCTCTCTCTCTCGTGGTGATTGGGGAAATGCGTTGTCGATTCTCGTTGCGTTCGTCTGATTCTGTGGGTTGCTGGTTCTGTCTGTCGAACATTTCGCTTTTGGAACGGTCATGTTTTAGGGTTTTCGCATCTTGCTTTTAGTTCTCGAGTATGATCGTGTTTTTGTCGTCCGTGATCGAGATTCATTGGGCAGAACCGAAGTGGAATTGCTACCGAGTGAATTGAGTGTAGTGCATAAGCAGTCTGATAAATTTTGTTTGGGGGTACTCGTTTTAATTTTTCTGTTGAATTCTGTGGAGTTTGCTGGATCAACATATGAAATCAATTTTCATTAGCACCGATTGAGTGTGAATTAGGGTTTTGCTAAACAGAGGATAGATAGGGCTGTTTAAGTGGTTTTTGTTTTTTGCGTGTTTGATGCCGTTTAACAAAAGCAACTGATTCCAAAGTATTGGTCGAGTTAGAAATGGTTTGGCTTTTAGGAATTACTTGGTTGTGATAGAATTTGAGTAGATGAAGCATATTTCCGAATCTTATTCCCCAGTTCAGTCTCGCGCTTTGTTGATTAGAATACGATTACAAAGTGAATTGGGATTGTGAAGTGATATTCCCCTTTGTTCTCTATCTATGGTGTAGCTTTTATGGCCAGAATCAAGACTGGTAGATCCATCAAGGTCGAGGCCTTATGTGACTTTGGAGAAGTAGAGGCTTCGCAGAAGGTAAAAGGAAAACTTCCCACCTTATGGTTGTTAATTTGTATACTTGGTACCAACATCAAAAGATCTTATAGCCAGTTTATTTTGTATCAGGAAACAGAGTTATCGGATTCAATGACTGCTCATTTTGTCTCGGAAGTTATGACTCAATGTGAGACAGCTCCTGTGCCTGACAAAGGGAAAGAAATGGTCACTGAGGTCAAAGGACATAATGATGGAGCGCCTAGCAATATGGTAACGATGCGTTGACTCTAACTTCTCAAATTAACCAATTTCCAGGTAGCCACTGACCATTTAGCTCTTCAGGTTTCTCCTCATAAGGAGCCAAAATCAGCAGAAGAGTCGGACGCCGGGGTTCGTAAAGGCACTCAAGAAGTTGACAGGTATTTGTCAAATCCACTACTGGATTATGGGAGACTGGCTTCGAAAAGAAATTGGGACTAATACTGTTGTATTTTAGTGATTCAACCTCAAAATTGGTGGATGTTGCATCAACTGATGATAAAGAGAACAGCAAGTCCTCTGTTCGGGAAGGAGCAGAAGTTAGCACCCCCAAACCAGTAACGGCTTCTCAAAAAGGAGATGTAGTGACTGATTCTAAGAAATGTCAGACAGCTAAAAAGATAGCCAGTTTGATCAAGAACCCCTCCAAGTCGAGGCCTAAACAGAACTTGCAGTCTTCGCAAGCCCAGAAATCCAAACCAGAGAGCGTTAAAAGGTTAAAAAGATATGTTTTATCCTCATATTTTGCATTGAACTTGAAAATAAACAAATGCAGAGTGTGGCTTACTCAGTTTCCACTCACAGAAATATAAATGTGAAGAATCCTGCTGCAACTCCTGTAGCTCAAGAAAACCAGGCTATCAAGAGGCAGAAGTTGGAAGGAGGGAAATCTAGACAGGTGTGGAGCCTATAACAGCAGATTCTCATTTAGTTGGTGTGGCTTCCTCTATCGGTGATGTGATGGAGCGACTCATTTGAACTTTTTTTTTTTTGCAGATCTTGAATGTCAAACCGCTAGTTTTGCCTCACAAATCAAAATTGGGTCTTGCGAGCGGCACTTCCGGTGTATGCAGTTCAGCAGCCAAGAAGGCTGGGAAAGAAGATAGAAAGGTTTGCATTCACCACTGCATTTCATTTTTCATCTCTGTAACTTGTTTAGGTAATGCTGACCGTAGTCAGTTTATTTTGAAAGGTTTACGTTAGGGAACCAGTGGCGCCGTTCGTATCAACGGCAGAAATGATGAAGAAGTTTCAGTCCGGTACCAGAGATTTGTCATTACCGCATCTTAGTGGTTCTCTTTCACATGTAAGCTAATTTCTCTAGATTTCTTTTTTGTACACTCTGTAATGAACTTTTGCTCTTGGAAACAAGTCCCTTTTTCTTTTTTTTAATTCTCTACATCTTGAACCTCAGGATATGGGTGCTTCAATTATGCAGAGAAAGCCTACTAAACTAACACTTACGAGGCCCAAGGAGCCTGAACTTGAAACAGCACAGCGTATCCGTACAGTCAGAGTAAAGAGTACTGCGGAGCTTGAGGAAGAGATGATGGCTAAAATTCCAAAATTCAAAGCTCGGCCAGTGAACAAGAAGGTAAATTTTTCTCCCTCCTATTTCTTTCTGCCATATTATAGTAAATCAATATATAAAAACTAAAGTTTACCGAAAATTTTTTCTTCCATTTGCTATAGATTTTGGAAGGTCCAGCATTACCAGTTTTACAGAGAAGTACACCTAAGCCACCAGAATTTCAGGTAAATTCAAGTTAGGTGCAGCTAGAATGGATTTAAGAGTATTTCACGTTAATCTCATCAGGTTAATTGTAGGAGTTCCATTTTGAGACGACATCAAGGGCCTATAACAATGCAGAATCAGCTTCTGTTGCCTCCACAGAAAAATCTCATCAGGTACAGAGGGACACATTTCTATTTTGTCTGCTGTTGTCATGTTTGTCAAGGCATCTATTAACAGTTTCTCCCGATTGTCCTGGCACAGAATCACCAATGGAAATTTCATCTAACCGAACCTAAAACTCCGCTCCTTCAAACATCCTTGAGGGCCCGTCCACCACGAGTGAAAAGTTCCTTTGAACTAGAGCAGGAGGAACTTGAAAAGGTTCCCAAATTTAAAGCAAGACCTCTGAATAAGAAGGTTTGACTTCGGTTTAGACATTGCTGCTGATATTTTCGTACTACCCATTTAGTTTTGGTAAAGCAAATGAGTTTGAATCTGCAGATTTTTGAAAGTAAAGGGAACTTGGGGATGTTCTGTAATACAAAGAAGCACGTAACCCAACCCCACGAGTTCCACTTTGCAACAGATGAACGGTTTCCTCAACCTACTTCAGTTTTTGATTTATTTGACAAGGTACCTTTCTCTCATTGTCTTCACATAGCTGATAGAAGCACTTACCTTCAAGTGTTTAATGAATTCTAATGAATTGTTGTGTAATTCTCCAGCTTTCTTTGAACTCGGAACCTCGAAATGAAAACCCAATTCCGAGAAACACGGCCCCTAATCCTTTCCATCTCCATACGGAGGTATGTAAAAGTTGCCTATCCAAGATTAAGTTAAAATCTGGTCGCACAACTAGTTTTCTTAAATGTATATTTGTGCATTTTCCTTCAAATTCAGGAAAGGGGAGCTGAGAAAGAAAGAAAATTTGTAACGGAATTAATTCAAAAGCAGTTGGAAGAGGAAAGAGCCAGGATTCCCAAAGCTAATCCATATCCGTACACAACAGATTACCCTGTGGTATGGATGCTGTCTTTGTTTTGCTTTGGTTATCAGAAAGAAACATGAAAATAATAGCTATCATCCTCCTGTGAATAGATTCCTCCAAAGCCAGAGCCCAAGCATTACACCAAACCCGAACCCTTCCAACTAGAAAGTCTTGTGAGGCATGAAGAAGAAATGCAGAGAGAAATGGAAGAAAGAAAAAGAAACGAGACAGAGGAGGCCCAGATGAGGATTTTTAAGGCACAGCCGATTTTAAAAGAGTAAGCAATAACATGAATGTTTCTCGTTCCGTGTCTTTTATTACCTGTACGTTGTTTGCAGTGTGAATTAATTTAATTATGCTGGATCTCACAGCAGGGATCCAATTCCACTTCCCGAGAAAGTCCGCAAACCTCTCACACAAGTTCAGGAGTTTAATCTCCATATAGACCACCGGGCTGTGGATAGAGCAGAATTTGATCAAAAGGTTAACCTCCTTCCAATTACAATGTACTCTTAAGAAATATCTCTTGGCTTGTACTCACTCATTAAGTTCCTCCCCAGATCAAAGAGAAAGAGGCAATGTATAAGAGATACAGAGAGGAGAGTGAGGCTGCTCAAATGGTACTGTCTTTGATACTTTATCCGCTGTTGCTCTCTACTAGATTTTAAGAGCGGTAATGTTTAACTGACGCCTATATATTACAGATCGAAGAAGAGAAAGCACTGAAACAGCTAAGAAGGACACTGGTTCCCCATGCAAGGCCAGTCCCGAAATTTGATCACCCCTTCTGTCCCCAAAAGTATGAATCCTTAAACCCACATCTGACTCCACCCTGCTCGTATTTCAACAATGATTCATCATTTTGTCTGATTCATGAACAGGTCTTCCAAGGGAACAACAAAAGCAAAGTCTCCAAATCTGCGTGTGCTGCGGAGGAAGGAAATGAGAAAGGCAGTCACCACCATGCTTCCTGCAGCCTCCAGTGCCGCTGCTCTTATGAGATGATGATCCTTCAGTCTCAAGCCTTGTAATTGATGTGTTGATATGTTGTAGCGGTGTTCAAGAACATTTGAACCCAGCGGGGGAAGGGTCACTGGGAAATTACGTGCTAGCCTTTTTTGACATCCACTGTTGTAGGAATGCCTGATATTGTTCATGTACACTAATCCCCAATTAATAGTGACAGCAAACTCTTTCATTTTGCCGAAGTTTGCGATCTGTCTGAAATTGTGCAGAAATTATTGCTTGTTTGCAAATCAAATTATTAACGTGACGCATTTAATATCCCAGGAAGCCGTCACCTTTCTATGCCCAAATCCCAGAACCTGCATGAGAGAAGACTCGGACAGAAAAAAATTGGCTGCAGCCACACATTTGAATGGGATGGTGCGACCCTGTCTATTGTCAAATTAGCACTCGAGCATATATATAACTTGTTAGAATTGGAATGTATGATTCATCATAATTTATGATGAATCATACATTTCACAGGTTGGAAGCAATATCTCATAGCGTAATACACATACATCGGAAATATTGCTTATTTCGTTCTCTTAAATTACTATGATTTTTTTTTGTCCAAGATGCTAACCAGAGGGCATTCCTCACACCCACACGCACGCACCAACTGTCATCAATCGATAATTAACATTGGGATGCAAAATATTAACCCAAAAAAAGAGTTAATACCATGAAGAACCCAAAATGGTACATATATAACAAATTTATTCTCCGTTAGGCTCCGTTCGTTTGGCGGAAAATATTCTCATTTTGGAAAATATTTTCCCGGAAGTCATTTTCCTGGAAAATATTTTCCCTGAACATAATTTTCCGGTGTTCGGCAACCAATATGAAAAAGTTTCGGAAAATATTTTTTGCCGGCGGCCGGCGTCCGGAGGCCGCGGCCCGGCGGCGCGTCAGCGGCCGGCGGTAGCGTCGAGCGGCAGCGTCCAGCCGGCAGCAGCAGCCGCCCAGCAGCAGCCGGCATGGCGCGCGGCCAGCGACCGATGACCAACGTCCATGACGGCGTCCGGCGGCGGCGGCCGGCGATCGACGACCAACGTCCGGCGGCGGCGGCGGCCGGCGACCTTAGTGTAGAAGAAGAAGAAGAAGCTCCGGAAAATGATTTCTGCTTTTAAAGAAGCGGAAGTCATTTTCCATAGACTTAGGCTATTTTGTGAGTGGGGGAAGGACAATATTTTTCCACGGAAAACGTTTTCCGCCCCCTGAACACCGGAAAACCCAGAAAATATTTTTCGGGAGAATATTTTCCGCCAAACGAACGGAGTCTAGTTTCCGTTAAATTTTACCGTCAAATTGACGAGTTAAATGACACACGGAAATTGACGGATTTACTAATTTAGGGTTTTACCCTTTGTTTGCCACATGTGTACTCTTTTTTTTTTGTATTAATCCAATTTAATATAAGGTAAATTTATCACAAATGTATCGGTTTAAAGTTTTTGGTGGTCAAAAAATTAGTTTGGGGTAAATTTGTCACATGTGTACCAGTTTTGGGTTTTTGGTGATAAAAAAAATTAGTTTTTGGTAAATTTGTTACAAATGTACCACTTTAAGATTTTTCGTAATATTAACCCAAAAAATAATGAAAGCAAGCCTATTAATTTGCCGAATTGTTCACGGAGAGTAACTTGGGAACTAGCTTTACCACTCTTGGATTCTCCCAACTTTTTGGTGCTTAGTTGAAAACAAAGAATCGGGAGTTCGTTGCGAAAATTTAAAATGACAAGGGATGGGCCGTAATTATATAATAATCTAGGGGTGCTATTTGCAAATTTGCGCAAATCGAACGTTTCAAAAATCGAAACGACGCCACCATTTTCCCGCTTCTTCGCGAATCAAACCGACGGCGAGTCAAAACTCCGATCTCCGCCGCATCCGCACGCGCACGCGGGCAAGGACCGAAGAGGAACATGGCGGTCACCCTCTCCGCTCCCGCCGATCCGTCCGCCGCCGCCGACGAGGCCGACCTCGTTCCGTGGCTCAGGTAGATTTCCCCTTCCTCGGGTTCGAACTGATTTGTCGAGAGAAACGTCGATCGATTCAGCCTGCCACGCATCTAATTTTGGCGAAATTCGGACCGATGCAGGTCGGTTTCCGAGGCGCTGGCCGACGTGAACTTGGGCGGCGGCTCCGTCGCAGATCTCAACAGGCTCCTGTCCGGTTGTATCGCCACGTTCAAGGACAACCTCCGCATCCGAAATGACCCTAGGTTTCTCAAGCTGTGGATTATCTACGTAATCACTTCTGCGCCCGAATCTCTGTTCTTTCCGGTTCCGGCAATGATGCTCGGGTTTCGTGTTCAATTCGTTGCTTGTGTAGGCCTTGATGGCTTTTTAGTGTTTCGGTTCTTGTTGAAGTGCTTGAATTTTGTTGCTCGGTAGTTGGATACTAGCGAGGATTTCGAAAGCGTCGTCAAAGAAATGGATGATGATAAATCGTGGCCCAATGATGCATTGTTCTATGAATTGTACGCGTTGTTTCTCGAAGCCAAAGGACAGTTGCATGAGGCTGTTAAGGTTTACCAAATGGGCATCGCCAGGTCCTTTTCATGTCGCGCGAGCTGTTTGCTTCTAATTTGAGGGAATTGCTTTCGCCACGGCGTTCTGAAAGGTTCATATTGGTGCTAGGCATGCTAGAGGAGCGAGGTTGCAGAAGGCGCAGGCGGCATTTCTCGATAGGTTGTCCCACATAATCGCAGCTGCTTCCCCGAAGGTATGAATTGAAGAGAAACCATAGATTGCCGTTGAGAAGTTCTGCCTATTTGTTGTTTGTAAATCTGCACGTTTATTGTTGGCTGCTCCCTTTTCGATAGAGCTATAGACATAGGTGTACAGAAAGACCCCAGGGCACACTTCTCTTGTTTCCAGGTAGATTATGGTGATAATGGTTTTCACCACAAGGTGGACTGCTGACAGTATCATGTTACTTAGCTCATCATTCTTCCCTTCGATGAAACTCTCTATTGTGAGTCAAAACCTACGATATGAATAGTTGGGCCATGCATGGAAGAGTTGGCTAGCTAGAGTCCTTCTGTCCTGGGGATTGCACTTTAATGCTGGCTGAGAGAAGAAGTGAAACTCCTTTTTTTTTTTTTTTATCTTATTTGATGAAGTTGTTGACTGTTCAGGAGTGGTGGCAGTATTCTTGAGCTTCACACTGCCGTGATTTGTTGTCATCATGTGTGATTAGTTTGCCTATTAAAGCTATCATTGTAAAAGCTTCCATCCTCACTAATGGCTTCGCGGTTCAATTATCCTACACTTTCCTGTTTAAATCTTGGTTTCCACCCTGGAGGTATTGGGTTATCACACTTCTTATTGCTGCCTTGATTGCCTATGCCATCAATCTGCTATTTTATGCAAATATTATCCTTTGATTCTATGGGCCTATTGCGTCAAAAGCTAATATTATTAGCATTCCTGATGATTGGAATTCCATGGCATGCACATTTTTTATCCTATTATAAGGTGTTGAAAATCTTAAAGCACAGGATTACTCTGAATTAGGTCCACCTTTTCCTGTTTGTGAATGTGTTGATAATGTGTGTTCAAACATAACATGGGACAACCGGTTCTCTTATTTTGCAGGCTGAAAATGGAGACCGGATAGAGCTTGGGGAGACTTATGTCAATCCTTGGTCCAACTCCACGATGAAAGACCTGCTGGAGAAGATTAGTTCTCAACTTATGAAATATGATGTGAGACATTCTTTGGTTGCCTTTGATGATTCTATCATAATTTTAAAGATTTTGCATGTAATAGTTTGTGCATACTTGTTTAGGGGTACTATTCGAGTCCTAAAGCATATTCTGGAAAGGTGGCCCTATCGTCTCTTCGTAATTCATCAAGAAATAAAGTTATTGAGATAGGTGATTCCCGATATTTTCCTCTTTGTTAATTTCGCATAGATATTTTAGATATGCCTATTTATTTGTTTTTTTCCCAAGTTAATGCAGTCTCGACCATTATAACTCTTTGCATTAATGCCAGTTTTTTTTTTAGACATGTTGAGTTACTTAAATAGGCTGTGTTTAGAATACATTTATCATGATGTCCTAGAAAAAGAAAACACTTTGGTTATGCCATTCACTCCACAAACTTACCACTTCCAATACTGCCATTTGATGTTGGAAGGTGGAAAGAAATACCAGATCAAGGGCTGTGCAGGTCAAGGTGGTTTTGCCCAAGTATTTAAAGCTCATGTAGACGGTTATCCAGATGAAGTTGTTGCACTGAAGGTGGTTGCTTATGCTTTTTCAGTATTCTCCTTTCCCTTTCTTTAATCTTTCTGATTGGTTATTGTTATTTTGAACTGAAAATGAGAAACTCTTGCAGATACAAAAGCCTGGCTTCCCTTGGGAATTTTACATGTATCGGCAACTTGATCTGCGGATCATAGATTCTCATGTATGCTGTTTTATGTAGGCTTTCTTCCTTGTAACTGTTATTTGATACTGCCTACATGATAACTTTCATGAAATTTTTGTATTTCAGAGGCATGCCTTCGGTTTTGCCCATAGAATGCACGTCTACTCAGACTGTAGCATACTCATTTGTGATTATTTATCCCATGGGACACTTCAGGTAGGCATTTGACTTTCTTATTCGTGGTTTGCTCAAGTCATACTTTTCCAGAATATAACTTGAATATTGCATGCAGGATGCCATAAACTCCTATTTGGTGATTGGCAAGACCATGGAAGAAGTGCTATGCATTTATTACACTATAGAGATGCTCCGCATGTTAGAGACTTTGCATGCTGTTGGCATCATTCATGGAGATTTCAAGGCTGATAATCTACTCATTCGATATGCAAGGTGAAAGCGTAGCTTATGCACGTGAATGAATGTTGTCAATGTACACCATCCAATTCGTTAGTTGATATTGGTTTTCCATATGTAGATTGGTCATAGAGCATATCACTTGTTTCCCAGTCTATATGTCTCAACCTTTCATTCATCTCATTTTATGTCATTTTTAGCTTATTGCATTTAATAATTGTTCGGCACGTTTCTGTACGTGCTTGTCCAGATTTTAAATTGGAAAATTTTGAGTAATCCTTTTGACCGAGAAACTCTTGGATACCACAGGACAGCTATACTCGTTTCCTCATCCAGATTTGACATGATATGACCAGAAACCGGATTCTCTTGGCATTATACCCATCAATGTGGATAACCTTAGTTCATTTGGATAATTGGTGACATAAATTGTTTGATTTTCTTGATAGGGAGGATCTTTCAATAAATGGATCCGAGGATCATAGCGGTTCATGGAGTGCTCAGGTTAGTTCAATTTGCTTAAAGGCTATAGTGGTTTTACTTGGAAGTTGAAATTCTTTAGGTTTATTCAGAACATCATGCAGGGTCTTTGTCTTGTGGACTGGGGAAGGGGAATAGATTTGCATCTTTTTTCTGATAATACCATATTCAAAGGAGATTGCCGGACTTCCGGCTTTCGTTGCGTTGAGATGCAAGAGGATAAGCCATGGAGGTATCAGGTATAAAATTTATTTTGAACTGTCGCCACTTGTCACAATAAATGGTTATCTTGTTTAACTTACAGCTGCTGGTTTTGAGCTGCACCAGGCAGACATATATGGTCTTTGTGTAGTTGTCCACATGATGTTGCATGGTACCTACATGGAAATAGAAAAGAGGATATCTTCAAATGGAAGTTATCTTTATCAACCAAAATCCACTTTTAAACGGTACTTCTCTCTCAAGTCTCTCCATTGAACTTGTTGACCAATATCCAGTTCAAATAAGAACTGTCAGTTCTCAGTTTTATCCCAATCTTGCCATTGCTCCCTGCAAAAGTCCATTTTGTCCCATTTGGTTTCAACTTCCTTCTGCTATCATTAATGTTCTTTCCACTGTCAGCTGAGACAGTTTTCTTCTGCTTAAATTGCTTTTAGGTATTGGAATGTTGATCTATGGAAGAATATGTTCACAAAGTTACTGAACATTGGCCCTGGCAACCATGAAATAACTTTGTTGCGGAGTGTGAGGCAATCGTTTGAAGATCACATGAGCTCCAACAAACAGCTTATTCAGAAGCTTAAGGATCTGCTCTTGAGGCAAAGATCATCCTTATGTTCAGCGTAGTGCGTCCATACATTTTTGTGTTCTATGTTAATTGCCCCAAAGAGTTGGTTATGTTGGCACTCCTCGACCAGAGAGGATTTTAGCTGGTTGACATATTCGCATCATTATCCAGATGATGCACGTGATCGTCATGAACCGCTTTCCTGGCACCATCTTTCTCTTTCTTTTGAAGAGAGGAAGTTCATTATAGACCTTGTATATATCTGTATTCTGTAGAGCAAGAGCGCTTGCAATTCTGAAGCATCTCTGCTGTCACAATGTCGGTATATGTTATTCACAGAAAGAATGTCATAAACCATCTCCAATATGTTAATATATCTGATTATGGGTCGTACGAAATTTTGTTTCCTGTGTTGTTTGTCAATTGGAAGTCACAACTGGTGACTTCTGTCTTTCCTTCTTGTATACTGTGTTCCTGTGGGTACATTACGATCCATTACCCAGACTACCTGATGGCTAGTATGCAGTTTGCTTCTCTGCAAGAAGGATATAACCTCTAAAGAAAGAAGTTAGCCTGTCTTTTGCATTGTTTTATACCCTGCATTGCCTATTGGAAGTTTTCTGCCATATTCTGAAAGACCAGAGAGCTATCGCATACCTGATGTGATGCAATTTAAAAACTTTTTTGGGTTTTGTTAACAAGTGCGTTGCTCCGGAATAATTAGTTAAAATCACCAAGACCAAAAAAAGATTAGACCCACGTCAATACATCTCGAAATTGAAGAAAAGAAATATATGAAGAGAGGCGTCCTTTAAGTAGGAGTATTTATATTACCTAAGCACAATTGAAATTTCACAAAAAGCGTAGCCAATTGTCATTTGATGGAGTAAAAAAAGTAATGGAGTCACCGAGGATTACTCCTGTTCTTGATTCTAATTGGACCCGCAACTTCGGTTCTGGCCTAGCTTCCGTGTAAGGAACATTCTCTCCGAGGACAGAATCTAAGACGCTGGAAGTTCGGACATCACTGCTCCTATTTTGGACGATCATTCTCGAGGCCAACATGACAATCAAAGTCGAATGTATATGTTTTTTTTTATTTTTGGTTGCTCTACGTCAGCGGAGCAGGAGTTGGAGTTTGATTCGTCCTCTTTGGTCTTCTGCAGAATCGTCAAACCTTAATACAAACCTGCCGCTTGTTTGAACTTGTAAACAACATGTGCCGATGTTGAAGAATGGCATACTTTTCTCATCTGACCACGGTTGGCGAGTAGGGCCGGTAGAGACGAGATGCTTTTCCCATTTCTTGACCCCGAATGAGTATGGATGCGTAATCTCGTTATGATCCCGGCACAGTTATGGAGACCCTGACCATATGAGGATGCATAATATAACATTTAAGTTCCATGAACAGGCCTTTCGACCTATACATATGGCACTGACCTTTCCACGCAGCTAGTGAAATTTGATCGTTTGATTTCTTCGGTTTCCGTTTGTGTCTAGAAAAGTTTACCGGAGGAGAAAATATAAAGTTGGTAACCGAGCAAAAAGACTGTAATATCAAATGACTTGGTCAGACCAAGTGTGAACAGCGGCAGAGTTGTCGAGACAAAGGGACTAAAGTCAAAGTCGTCCGAGATTAAAAAAAGCCAAGTGTTCAACATCCGTTAGATTCACATGCCGTACGTAAGACGGAAACAAAGCTGCAAGTTTTGATCAGCCCTTCATATTTCCCGGAGTTCTGGAAAGAATATTCAAGATCCATCGAGCTTCTCTCGAGGTTACCTTCTCTCTTTGATCTTCTCTCTCTCTCTCTCTCTCTCTCTCTCTCTCTCTCTCTCTCTCTCTGTGGTTTTGTTGGCTCTTACATGTCATTCACGGCCTTGAATTTGCTGGTCTAGTGTTCATCTCTTCATATGGGTGACGGCTTTTCCAGGTGAGTAAGTCAAGAATGGCTTCCGTGTGAGAATATTTGCTGAGGGATAGGAGAAACTAACCTGGAATGAGTGACAAGTTGAAGAGAAATTAGTACATCCATGGATTAATATGGTCACCTGTGTTGCATGCGCATTTCCCGCTTGCTTGATGATATTACCTGTAAGTGGAGATTTCGGTCTACCGAAGGGTTCTAGAGGATGGGGTCTAGTGATTAGTTTTGGCCATCGATGGATATCTTAAGATGATAGGTTCGTTCCGTTTATCTCAAACTTCTAGGATCTTCATGCCAAATCTATCCTACACTGGGTGCTCTTTATTTGTCTAGCTACTTTTCCCAAGAAGCCATGTATCTGTGGTTTGCTTATGTTCGACATGATGTTCTCTAGTATGTTTCCCTAGCCATTACAGTTAGATGAGTATGCACCGTCGTCAACATGAAAACACAAAAGTAATGGATGATGGGAATGCTTCTCTGCATTGAAGGAGCTTCTTGCCTTGATCAATCGGAAGATATTCTGCTTGTTTTGTGGTCCTATTTGAAAATTGCCGGAACTCCAATTGCAGGTCACCATACTCTGTCGCAAACATGGCCGATGGATTGCAGCATCCATCGGTGATTCAGAAAATTCACGGGCAGTCTCACCTTGTATCTCTGCTTTCGCGTGCCACCTCCGCGAGAAATTACGGGCCGCACAATTTCGCAAACACTTGTAGCAACGGAGCGTCGCAGAGTCCTCTATCTCCAGCATGCCGGGGGGGAAGCGGTCTGGCACTGCTGTCATCTCACTATCCCATTTTTGTTCAAGCTCCAGCTGAAAAGAGAGCGTCCACGTTCTTAGAGGATTTCCTTATGGGAGCAGTTTCTGCAGCTGTTTCCAAGTCGGCGGCTGCTCCGATTGAACGTGTCAAGATGTTGATCCAAAATCAAGACGAAATTCTCAAGTCTGGTAGGCTATCTGAACCATACAAGGGGATTACCGACTGTTTTGCGAGGGTTATGAAAGACGAGGGCGTGCTTGCTTTGTGGAGGGGCAACACTGTCAATGTCCTCAGATACTTCCCGACCCAGGTCAGTTTCCGTCGAAATTCTTTAGCGGTTCATTAGTCCGTCCTTCTGTATGCGTACGAGCTATAGTTAATTTCTTCCCAAACCAGGCCCTGAACTTTGCATTCAGAGATCACTTCAAGAGGATGTTCAACTTCAAGAAAGAAAGGGATGGCTACTGGAAGTGGTTTGCCGGCAACTTGGCATCTGGTGGAGCCGCTGGCGCCACGTCTCTTCTCTTTGTGTATTCCCTGGATTTTGCTCGGACTCGTCTGGCAAATGATGCTAAGGTCACTAAGATGGGCGGTGAGAGGCAGTTCAATGGCACGATTGATGTCTACAAGAAGACGTTCAAGTCTGATGGCATCGCCGGTCTCTATCGTGGATTCACCGTTTCGTGGGTCGGGATCATAGTCTACCGTGGGCTTTACTTTGGTTTGTATGATTCTCTCAAGCCGGTGGTTTTGGTCGGTAAATTGCAGGTATGCAAGCTTATCATCTGGCTCAGAATGTCGACATATGCAACTTCCTTTACAATTTCGGTATTGCTACGCCATGCCTTACAACTTGTGCTCTGCTTGAATAATTGCAGGATAGTTTCATAGCGAGTTTCTTGCTTGGCTGGGCAGCCACAATCAGCGGCGGAATGGCATCTTACCCGTTTGACACGGTGCGGAGGAGGATGATGATGACGTCGGGAGAGGCTGTCAAGTACAGGAACTCCATTGATGCTTTTCAACAGATCATCAAGAAGGAAGGCACGAAATCGCTTTTCAAAGGTGCTGGCGCGAACATCCTCCGTGCCGTCGCCGGCGCGGGTGTCCTCGCCGGCTACGACAAGCTGCAGCTCCTCCTATTGGGCAAGAAATACGGGTCCGGCGGCGGCGGTTGACATCAAAAACTCCGCACGACGGATGATGACGAGAAAACAATCACCTAGTTATCCCCATTTGTGTGTCTTGGAACCCATTCAGTATTGATGGAAATGCCTGTCATAATAAAAGGACTTCATGGACTCTGTTAATTTGACCTTTCATAAAACTAAAGCCTCAGACCTGTATCTCCGATTGAGTGATTCCATGGAACTTTCGCACATTGAACGGTCATCGTAGGTGGTGCTGTGTCAGTAACCTGAACAATCTTTTCGTACTTCTCCAGGGACAAATTTCACAACGAAAGCATGGATTTATATATATCAGATCCCCAAAGAAAAAGGCGCACGCACCCATCTGATACACGGTTACTGCGATTATGCGCATGCAGAACAACGGACGACATGGTCGCAATGAAAAGCGCCCGAAATTTCCATTGCTCGCTTTCAATTAAGAAAATAAGTCGAAAACAGGAGGTGAGGCTGCAGAATAAGTAGATGTTTCATCGTAATCCGGTCTCCATTGAAGGGCAAATCAAACTCTATAATAGCATATTAGTTTGATGGGATTCCGGTACAAACTTGACAAGCAGATGTAGAAGCGACCGAAAACACGATTAATGCTGCAAATTGATCGTTGAAAGTTGCACGAATAAGTTAGGAGTAAAAGTGAACCGGTTTTCCTTGGTGATTCTAAATTTTTTTGTGGATTCACCGAGTGACGATTGATGTTCGTTGAAGTTTGAGTGTTTGAAGACTTGTTTAAATGTACATATAGTCGAGTTTGAAGATGTTCTAAGTTTAGGCTAAGAACATGTGTTGAAGGAGTTGAATGTTTGAAGGTTTCTGGAAATTCCCAGTCTGATCCGACCTCTCCATGTTCTTCGATTTTTACGGAAAAATCATGTTAGAATCTGGAAAAAAATTGTCTTCTAGAGGATTATATATGAGATTCATAGCTTTAAATCGATATAAAGATCATAAACCTTGAACATCATTAGAGTTGTAAAAGTTATGTCTCAAATCACCGAAGAAAATTGGAGTTAGATCTAAAAAAAAATTATTCCCCCGTCTGGTCAACGTGTTTTGCAAATAATCGATATTTGGAGGATTATTTTATAAAAGATCAAAACATAAAAGTTGTAGGGAAGGTCCTGAACTGCAAATACATAAAATTTCATAAAATTTCATGCGAAATTGGTCAGTCAATTTGAATGAACAAGGTGAAAGTTCGAATTGGCCAAAAAACACTGTTTCAGATAAAGTGTTCTCGGAGTAAATTGCACAATTACCTATTGACGGAGGGCTTGGTTGCGGAATTTTAAAAATTAAAGTTGTATAGCGCATAATGAGCTGTCCTCTCCGTAAAATTTGGCGCCGCCAGACGTTCGTTTGATACTTTTTTTCGAATTTTAAAATAGTCGGGTCGAAACAGGGCAGAATTTGGAATAGTCGGGTTTAATTGATTTTTATATATTAATTAGGTCATAATTAAAAAAAAAGGGGGATTAGTGCATTAAAAGTCTTAAAATTTGTCACGAAAGTGCAAACAAGTCCTGAAACCTGTCCCGAAAGTGCAATCGAGACCTGAGACTTTCAAAAAGTGCAATCAAGTCCTAAGCTTGTCACGAAAGTCCAATCGAACCCTAAAACTTTTTAAATGTTCAATCAATTGAATGAATTGATTGGATAAATTTGATAAAATTTAGGATTTGATTTATACTTTCTAAAAGTTCTATGACTCAATTGCACTTTTGTGACAAGTTTTAAGACTTGATTGCACTTTTCGAAAATTTTGAGACTCAATTGCACTTTCGCGACAATTTTTAAAACTTTTTAGTGCACTCATATACATTATGTATACCGGGGCAGGGGACCTAAAACCCGTTCCCCCTCTAAATTCCCTGGCGATTTCTCGGCAAACTTCGTGACTCTCAACTTCGCCTTGAAGCCGATTCTTTTGTCATCGTTTGCGTCGAAGGAGGAGGAGACATGGAAGAGGGAGCGAACGGCACGGTGACCTCGCTGGTGTCGATGTTCCCGGCAGACGAGGCTCGGAAGGCGGCGGCGCGCGTGCAGGACGCAATTGCCGAGAAGCGCCAGGAGCTCGACTGCGTCAGGGGTTTCGTCGCCGACAACGCCGGCCTCGTCGGTCTCGTCCAGAAGCTCCCCGAGGAGCTTCACCACGATGTCATGGCATGTTCCCCAATTGCTCCTAACCCGCCTCCGCCTCGTGCTTTTTCTTTAGCTTCATCCGGCTGATCAGAGCTTTGCGTTATGCTCAGCACCGGCTGGATTACATGCTCGTTGTGATTTTCTCTTCAGATCGGCGAGGCTCGAGGCTTGCCAGTGGCCGGCGAGGCCTTGGTCTTGCGCTCAACGAAACTGAATGCAAAACATATGCAATTCTACGGCTACAACAAGTTGACGCCAAGGCACGATTTCCTCGTACCACGCAAGTACATATAGGATTTGGCGACATGATTCACAATATCTGTCGTCCGTCATCGAACCATGTTCCATCTCGAGAACCCGACATTTCTTATATTTCTTAGGAATTGAATATATATAGATTAGAAAGGACATGACTGACGTTTTTGCATCCACCCACGATACTATGAACATGGTTCGATGACGGACGATAGACATTATGAATCATGTCGCCAAATCCTATATGTACTTGCGTGGTACGAGGAAATCGTGCCTTGGCGTCGAAGTCAGGAGGAACATTGTTTAATATGAAAGTCTTGAAAGCTGCGAATGATGCAAAAGCCAGAATCCTACCCATCGAAATTGTCCCTTTTCCTGGCAGTAGAATTCTCGAGCAATTATATGTTATACAAACATCATACCGACCAAACTCCCTTCCCTCACATAAAAAAGAAAAAGACATAGTTCATCCGATGAAACAAAATTGCAATTAGAGTCGGATGGTCATTTTCCAACCTTCGAAGACAACAACATATAAGTGAACCTTTGAAGACAACAACACATAAGTGAAACAGCAAATCCAAAAGGACAGTTGCGTTCTATCATTCTTGTTCTCACGGAGCTTTTCTCGCACATACAAATCGTGTCAACACCGATATGTTAATTTAAATGAGTTATAAGAGTCAATTTTGCCTCAAACGGGTTGGACATGAATATTGATCGCGTATCGCAAGTTGACATGAAATTGATCCAAACATGATTAATCTCAATCAAAACCTACTAATTCCGTGTCATGTTCAAATTGTGTTGTCTTATCATGCTAGAAATTTCCTGCCGAGAAAGCTGATTGAAGAACTATTAATTTATGTGGATGTCGCGTTACATTGATATAACATATTCATACGTTGTTCGCAGCGTGATTGATTCTGCATTCTCCACCGAGCCACTTAACAAGAAATCATAAGGCAAACTACAAGTCCTGAAGACAAAAATAGTGGGATAGTTTAAAAGATAACAAAAATTAAAATTTGCATTTCTAGTCAAATGAATTTAAGAGGGAGAAAATGATACAAATGGTTCCTGAACTTTGGTTCAATTATGTAATACTGTTCATTAATTTTAATTTATTCAATATAATCCATCAATTTTTGGTAAATGCTTAATCTAGTATCTTGATTATATGAAAATATCTAATATTATCTCTAAATCCTACATGATATAAAAAAACATTTAATGTTATCATTCCATTAATTCAAAATAACGGAATTTGCTAATTTGGCTTCCAATCCAATAGGCTTGAACGGTGAACCAAAACAAAAGTTTACACATGGATTATCCACATATAATAGTCAACTCAAATCATGATATAATAATCCACATTATCAAATAAAATGGATAATTATTTTTTCAAATTGAACAAATTGAACAACTTAAAAGGATAACGCTATTTTTTTTTGTCCACTCTTCAAACTTACTGGATTAAAAGCTAAATCGGTTTATCTTGAATTGTTGGACGGACAACGTTAGATATTTTCATATAATTTAGGGTTTCGATTGAACACTTACAAAAAATTCAAATACCATATTAAACAAATTAAAAGTTCAAGGATAACATTGCACATTGAGCCAAAGTTTATAGACTATTTGTGTAATTATTCCTTTGAGAGAAGTAATAAAAAGTCAAAAAGTAAAGAATTAAAAAAAACAAAAAAAAAAGAGGTCATTCTTTTTTCATAATAAAATTTGTTATAAAAGCGCAATTCAGTCCTAAAACTTTTGAAAAGTGCAATCAAATCCCACAACTTGTCACGAAGTTGAGTCCCAAAATTTTCAAAAAGTGTAATAAATGGATGGATTCGATGAGACTAATTTAACAAGTTTTATGATTTGATTACACTTTCCGAAAGTTTTAGAATTTAATTGCACTTTCATGACAAATTTTAAGACTTAGTTGTATTTTTTTAAAAAAATTTAGAATTCAATTGCAATTTCAAAAAGTACAATTCAGTCCTAAAACATTCGAAAAGTGCAATCAAGTCCTATAACTTGTCACGAAATTGAGTCTCAAAATTTTCAAAAAGTACAATAAATAGATGGATTCGATGGACCAATTTAACAATTTTTATAATTTGATTACACTTTCCAAAAGCTTTAGAATTTAGTGGCACTTTCATGATAAATTTTAAAATTTAATTGCGTTTCTTAAAAAAATTTAGGACTTAATTGCAATTTCATAAGAAATCTAAGGATTTTATTTGCACTTATATATATTTTTTGGAAGAGGCGGGGAGGACCTCCTTCCTTTGAAGAAATCCCCTGGGCTATTTCTCGGCAAGCCTCGTCACTCCCCAACTCCGCCTCGAAGCCGATTCACTCGTCGAAGGAGGAGGAGGAGACATGGAAGAGGGAGCGAGCGGCACGGTGACCTCGCTGGCGTCGATGTTCCCGGCGGACGAGGCTCGGAAGGCGGCGGCGCGCGTGCAGGGCGCGATCGCCGAGAAGCGCCGGGAGCTCGACCGCGTCAGGGGTTTCGTCGCCGACAACGCCGGCCTCGTCGGCCTCGTCCAGAAGCTCCCCGAGGAGCTTCACCACGATGTCATGGCATGTTCCCCAATTGCTCCTAACCCGCCTCCGCCTCGTGCCTTTTCTTTTAGCTTCATCGCGCCGATCGGAGCTTTGCGTTGTGCTCAGGACCGGCTGGATTACGTGCTCGTTGTGATTTTCTTGCTGAATTTGGTGGATTGAGGGTTTCTTAGTTTTCGAGTGTTGCCAGGAGCATGTACTGTGTTTGCATTTGTTGACTACGTTGTGTGGTGTGTACTTTGGTGCTCAGTTGTGCAAATGCTTTAGGAAAGAACGTCCATGTTGATGCGTGTAGATGTATGCGTCTTCGAATGCGAGTATACAGAAGGAATGTTTTTTTCCATGGACTGTGCTAATTTCTGTGTGTTTTTTCGTGTAGGTTCCTTTCGGAAAAGCTGCATTTTTCCCTGGCCGTCTCATCCACACCAATGAATTCACGGTATTCTCTCGAAGTGACCTTCTTTTATGGTATGAAGAGAACTTTAGGTATAAAAAAAATTACCTTTCTCATTGGAGAAAGCAATAATTGCGGGCTTTATCTGAGCCTCGTGTAGAATATATCTGTTGGCTATATGCGGCCGGATAATTAGTACTTGACCCTTGTAAAAGGCTACGAGTTCAGCATTCTACCCAGCATGCAAAATTCTTTGGATACTAGCATGGCTTTTTGGAAAACTAGCAGAATTAGATGTTGCAGATGAAATACTCATGGAAATCTGATAGTATTCTAACCATTTCAGGTTCTGTTGGGAGAAGGTTACTATGCCGAGAGGACATCCAAACAAACGGTCGAAATCTTGAGAAGAAGAGGGAAAGCTTTAGAAACCCATGTGGATTCTCTTAAGTCGATGATTGAGGATCTGAAAACTGAGGCCTTGTTTTTTGACAGGACAGCTTCTGAAGCAGCTGTAAGTTTCATCGTATCATGTTTTATCGTCTCAGGATTTGTTATGAGAGGTAATGAGGCTTTATACTTGGAGAACAGAAATCACTGTGGCGTCTGATCTAGGTACTGATATCTAATTGGGGTCATTGAATGATTAGTTCTCTTAGATTTTCTGATGTTAGAAAGCTTTCATGTTTGTTGTCTTTGGTAATCAGATTTGTAATTCACGGATTCTTTCAGGATGATAGCTTGTCTGTGCTCCTTTGACCATTGTTAGACCCGTAACTGGTAGACAACAATTTCATCTAAATTTCTGATGATCATGTGTTTGATTCCTGAATTTGACAAAGATAATTGAATCTCACATGAGAAAAGAAAGAGCTTGTGGACAGCTGATCGAGGTAGATAGTGGACAATGATTCTTACAGTAGCCTATAATGTGTCTTAACCTTCTTGAAGTGTCATGGTGTAGATAAATTTGGCAAACAACTCCACTGGAACATTGATCTCATGAGGGAACTTTGATCCAATTACTGACTAGATAAGGCATATCTGCTGTGCCTCCTCTTTATGCTCTGTTTGGGAGAGTTAGGAAAAGAAAATAGGAGAAGAAAATTCTGCAAATTTAAAAGTTCCCTCCATTTTTCTTCTCACAAAAGTTTGAAATCATCCCCAATTTTCCACACCCATTTTTGTTGCCCCTAATTTTACTTAATTCTCCCAAACAAAGCCTTAATGCTGAAAGACACAATTCTCTTTACAGCTTCAGTGAAGTTTTCAGGCATATTTTCATCTTGACATGTTTTTCTAAGCATCTGCATTCCACTTATACACCAGGAGGGTCTTGTGGAGATAAGGGAAGAACTTTCTGGGGACGAATCTGATGAAGAAGCATCTGAATCGGGTATCTTATGTCCTTATCATTACAGTGTTGCATTCGCTAGTTGTCTTAACCTCTTTTGTCTACTGTAAGTCTGTGTGTTAGTATTCTCATTTGTTAACAAAGGCTTGATGCCCCCACCCCCTCTCACGTTTTAATTCAGGTCGAAAAGAAGATGCTCCTAGCATCTCTGCAAAAGACAAGGGGAAAGTTCTAAACGAAGATGACGAATATGTTCGCCTTATGGCCAAATTGGAGGAACTTGAGAAGGAAGAACTTGCAGCTGAGGCAGCAGACAATATTGAAGAAGAGACAAATGCAGTTGATCCAGATGTAGTCTTGGGGCAAAGTTCTTTCGATCAAAATCTAAAAGATTTGGAGGTACAAATTCAGTATCATCTGCTTTTGACTGGAGATGTGAAGCGAATCACTAGAGAACACCAACATGATACCATATCAACCATTTGAAATTGATTTCTTTCTAGGGGTCTCATTCATTTATAATTCCAAGCCACTCTAAAGATGGACAAGCAAGTAATGAAGAATTCTTGAGTCGAAAGCGACAACAACCAGCTCTACTGGAGAAATTAAATGTAAGATGACCTCTTCATGGACCATTCTTTCCTTTTCTTTCTTGTGGTTGTTTGATTATTGATGGCTTGGATATTCTTATTATTACATATATCATGACAATTGGACTTCCATGTGCAGCCCAATGATCTCACAATCGCATCTTCTCAAAAAGGTTTGTTTTGTGTACTACATCTTGTGCGTTCAATTGGGTTGAGTGAGAAGATAACCTAGTCTGTTCTTCAGAATGAGAAGACACAAACTTTAGGATAAAGATTTCAAAGTTGCATCAAACTCATACTGTGACAAACTTTCCTGACGAAAGTATAGCCGATCTTTCATTGAGTATTTGTTCACATGAGTGCATCTGTCCTCCACCAGAGTATTCTCGTCCTAAGATTGAGTTCTAATTTGTCTATTCACATTCATCGAGGTGATTATGCTTTCATAGTATGTTCTAAACATCTCTCAGTATAAGTATTTGCAGCAAATGTGCCAGGTCAGCTCGTATGTTGGAAAAGAGATTGTTTTGTACAGCTGCTCCATGAAATTAACAATTTCATAAAGATACACGCTAGTTGTCAACCTCTCCTGTATATATTTATGGATCATCTTTCCTATCATTTCATGACTTGGAACATTGATAACATTGGTGGACAATGTTTACTGAAAGCTTCTTCTAGTAGAGAAATTGTGGTTCTATTATTAAGTGGCATACATCCTGCGGTAGATCTAACTGGATATTTATGCAGACAAAACCTCTCATGGGAAACACCCATCACAGAATCTAAAAGGTCCCAATGTTGCAGACAAGAGTCTGAAGTTTCCTGCATTAGAGGAGAATGATCATGCAGGATCATCAAATAATGAGGTACTGAATATCTTCTTTACTTTGCAAATTTATTGGGCATGGCATAGTGAGCAATTCCAAGAAAATTATGAAGTACTTTTGTGGATCTATATTCGTGTTTTCTTTGGGTTTTAAATTACGTCTCCTCAAAGCAAGTTAAAATCTACCTCTTATATGTCTTATGACAGAGTATTATCTACTGAATGGACTGGTAAGCCCATTTGAGGGACAAATTTTGGGTGGCAGTGGCACTCTGGCACTATTATATTAAGCCTGTCAATTTTAGCACGTTACTTCTTTGGTTTCTAACATATAAGAATTGAATTTTTCATTACTGAGTCTCATGATGAATTGTAGAGAATTTATTTGTGGATCACCGATATCTGAAACCTGAAAATGCTAGACCAGAGAAATTACTTCTTTTATGTCTAATATCCTGGAGTCTTATTGCTATTTTATAAACGTGGAACTGGAGATGGTTGAAGAATATCATTCATGCACAAGCCTGTGTTGTGTAGCTAAAGGGACAATGTTCCTTGGAAGAAACCCCTGTTCTCTGGTGGAAACACCATTGACATGACTTTGGCTTCCTGGAAGTATAAATGAGATTATTGAAGCTTGCGTGCCTTGCAGGTGTAAATGTACTCATGATGAAGTTCATTTGCTTGTCAAGCACTGGGAGCTGACTTTCTCCTTGTTTTTTTTATTTTTTTTCAGGTCTCTATTCAACCTTCTAAACCAAAAGTTGATAGTCTCAGGGTGCGTTCTTGAATAACTTCATTTGCTCTTTGTAGACCTGGTTAATTCCTCGGACAAACAATAGTAGCAACATATAACAAGAACGATTGCCCATCAACGGAAATTGTTTGCAGGCATTTACTGGCTCTATCATTGAGCGTTCCCCCAATCTTCCAATTAATCCAGGGGAGCCCTCTGCAACTTCATCACAGGTAGGATTGCAGATCCATGCAGCTGCTCTGATGGTAGTATGAGAGCTGTGTTGCCTATGACTAATGAAGTAACTTCCAACTTTCTGCAGGTTCCTGGCTCTCAATCTTCAAAACCAATGTCCAGATTCAGAATGCAAAGGAAATAGATGCCGGTGCAGCTTCTTTAAGTATGTTTCATCTCAAGCAGCTTCATGGATGACAGAGTTTCAAGTGAAGTGTTCGAGGATGTAGAGCATGCAGTGTTTTGGACTACACACAAGTGATTCATCGCTTTGGCCCACTGGTGCTTCGTTTCTGATCAGTCTTTGGCTGGTCATTGAGAAAATGCAGTTTGACATGGAAGCTGGACATACTGCTTGTGTCTCTAGTTTGAGGTCCAGCTATGAATTATAAGAATGTGATCCAGAGAGAGAGAGAGAGAGAGAGAGCTTAGTTCACGCATAATGACCATAATAACTGGAAATGTGCGTGAGTTGATCAGACATTCCTTGGAAAGATAACGCATCCTTTGCAAATTTGCGATACTGATTATAAGTACCAGGAACAGTTGAATGTTAGAAAGCCTTTTGCCTGTATACAACTGCATATCATAAAGAACGGTGCTTATCTGTCCCACTCTTCCCTGTTTCCAAGGACTGCCATCCCGATAGTACATTGTGACAGATACAATGACTTGGTACTGATTAATTAATTTAAGCTGGAACCAAGTTCATTTTCAGTATGTCAGCAGTAAAACATTCTTAGAAGCTGAAGTCGGCTTGAAGTATAATAGGATGCTTCATGAATCTTGAAATTCGGCAATATATATAAGAATCGACCCGTGGCTCGCATGGCAGTTGATGTATCATAAATCAATTTCACTGGGAATCTGTACACAATTTCAACGTGAGCAGAGAATATGACTATGTAGAACTACTGAAATAGAATATGTGCACTGAGTTCCCATCTTTTTCAGGCGCCTCGAGCAATTACATCTGTACAAATTGATATAAAGAGTAGGGATTATATATTTTGTACAATATGCACACTGTTGACCCTTGGTCGTACAGGTTATAGTATTACTCTACGATTACATATGTTAAGGGATACTTCAACCATTCGGAATCTTTCGCTTTCTTCCCTTGAAGTCATGAAGCACCTTTTTCCGCTCTGAAGGAGTTGCCAATACTAGCCACTTACTGAACTCGATCTCGTTCATACCCTTAAACTGTGCAAGGAGCTTAAATTGAGCTTTCTTCCAATTCCTGGTTGTAGACGCCTCCGTTTCTCCACCATCGGAACTCAGTTTTCTTTTACTCTTAAAACAAACTGAGAGCTGCTTATCATTCTGGGGCATATTTACTTCCGGATTTATTTCAGTTCCCGGACCAAAATTGACAATGTGCTCATTTCGGTGAGCATATACAATACCTGACCATCACAACATCCATTAATCCAAAAGGACCAACCAAAGTCAGTTAAATTCTAATGCTAATTCCCTTTGCTCACTTCACATGAAAAAAAAAAGCACACTATTCACAAAGGTACAATTTCGAAGGATATTGCATGTGAAAATTTTTAAAATGGACTAAACGAGTGAACATGTATGAGATTTTTCAAATGAGATTTTGGCTCGGACATGTATGAGATTTTTCAACACATTGTCATGGGCAGTTAATGCAGCACTCCAGTTGACCATGGAAAAATATATCGTAAGTCAGACGGCCAAATATCACAACCTATTCACAGCATTCGATCTACTGTCACTGGCCTATAAATGCAAACTTCCTACTTCCATTATTCCCTTCTTTGTTCTCACATTAGTCAACTATTTAAGGACGAGCACTAGGAGAGCAGTTGCACCAGCTAATCCGCTATAACTGTAAACCAAAGGTTTGCCTTAGGAAAATATAGTATTAGGAAACCTTTTAGAAGTCACAATGCCAGGAAAGAATAAACCTTAATCATGCCAAAAAAAATCATTAAGAAGTTTCGTCTTAGGGGTTTCTCCAATAAATTGAAGATAATGTAGCGTCCATACTTAGGAAATGTCGAGGTTTGACAATATTTGCCAAACTAAGAGGGCTGTTAAGAATTATACACCCTAAGTTAGTCTGTCCATACTTAGGAAATGTCGAGGTTTGACAATATTTGCCAATCTAAGAGGTCTGTTTAGAGTAATACACCCTAAGTTAGTCTGGTATAACAACGCCCATAATGCAGCTCTTCATCTTATATAGGCACTATTTAACTCCACAAATGAGTGCATTTTCATACGTCCACTAAGGCAAAACTTCTCCTGAGAATGCCAATGTACAATGACAAATCCAATGAAGAGAAAAGTGTGCCTTTTTCAGACACAACAAAGGTCATAATTTACACCAGACATCAGTAGAAAAGAACTGCTAATTATAATCGGGAAGAAGCAAATCCATGAAAGATATGACGACTCAATTATCGAGAGATTTAGCTGCAAAATGAACTTACCCAAGTCTTCAAGTGTTGGCTTACTGGTCATAGCTTTTTGTTGATCATAAAGCTTTCTATTCTTAGAGATCATTGTTGTACTGACTTCCTCTTGAGGAACATCACTGTTACCACATTCTGTTGATTTGTGCTTTGCATCAAGGTGTGTTTCACTTTTCAGTCTTTGTTCCCCATGTAGTTCAATAATCTCACTAGTGAAAAGTTTATCAGACAGATCATGGAACAAATTGCAGATTCCGAAAAGCTCGCCCTGGAACTCCTTGCAGTCCTGGAAACCGAGGGCAAGACAGCATCAAAAGCCAGTATATAACCTATAAACACATCAGAAAAATCAAAGCAAGCAGAGTTACTTTACCTGCACTCCCTCAAAGTATCTCTTTTCCATTTTTCCAGAAACGGCAATGTTGGATAACTGCTGCTTGTACACTTGCCGAGAATAAATGAGTTCTTCAAGAGAGCCAGCTGCGAGAAGACGGAAGACCAGAACATGCCGTTTCTGCCCAAAGCGGAAGGACCTGTCCTGGGCCTGTAAATCATGGGCAGGATTCCAGTTTGGATCAAATATTACCACACGGTTTGCACTGACAAGATTCAGCCCAAGCCCACCAGCTCGTGTTGATATAAGGAAAACCTGAAATTATAAGAGCACATCAGCAGTTGTAGTTCAGTGATCCTATAACATGATTTTCAGCACAAATCTTGACCTGTTTGCTTGGACTAGAATTAAAGTCATCAACAAGAGTCTGACGTGCATTGGCTGGAGTAGAACCATCGAGTCTTGAAAAGCAATAACCTTTGCGTATGAGAAATTTCTCAAGTATGTCCAACATCCTGAAATGGTAGTCAACTTCAATCATGGCGATGGATTAATGGAAGGGCAGAATAAATCAGTAACAACTATAGCAAAATGTTCAGCCATCTCTAAATTTGACTCCATATACAAAAATTCTATGACCAGATGGTAGTAGTCCCTTAAAATTTGATTCTCATGGATTTATGAGCATTCCCACAATATGCCAAACTATCCAGTGATACAAGGTATGCTGATGTTGAAAATTACCAGAACATACATTGTCCTGACGATTATGTATACTTCTTTATCACTAAAAGAATGATGAGGATTACGTGCAGATTTACCCATGATGCACAGAAGCACATGCACATGCATATGCACATGCAGTCTTCATAACTGAGATAACTTGGCAGGGTATGCCACATCAAATCGAAAAAGCACTCAGATTAGGTAACTTGGTAAAGAACGTTTAGTAGATACCTGACCGAGTAACTAAACAGAAGAACCTTATCACCTTGAGAGATCCAGGAGAGCATTAATTTTTCAAGGGCTCGCATCTTGCCACAATGTTTAACATCACTCAGGCCCATGAAGCTCTCATTCTGGGTATTCCCACCCACCATATCAATATCAGAGCCAAAAACAGCGGCGGCAAATTCAGCGTCCTTTTTTTGCTTATCTGGTTCATCCCTAGGGTTAGGCTTAATCAATTCCAGGTGATTGCTTATCTGTAAGGTAAGTCAAATTGCAGACATGCCATCAGCGTAAGTGCTCACAGAATATCAAGTGCTGAAAAAGAGAATTAGCATGACTGGCATTCAATTGATAGAAATTTGGAGCATTGAGTCAATTACAAAGTAATAGATTAAGTACATTTCAATTTTACATTATCCATGCTGATCTCTAGAATTGGACTCATTCTCATCATCCCTATGCTCATAATTTAATATCCTCCAGCAGAAACTCTCTCTCGCTCTCTCGGCCTGACATATGGACAACGAGAAAGGCCACAACACGCATGAATCATTGTCTACCAGTGTATGCATATTCTATGAGATAAAATTTAATCATACTTCCAAAGATGGCGAGCTTATTTTGAAGAGGACACCTTTGGTCAATATCCAAATTTGGATCTTCCAATCTATATTCAATGTTGCAACGAATGACCATAGATCATCCGCTCTCAATGCAAATCCTACATTCTCATTTAAGACCTCACTCGTCCAAGAAAGATACAACTGGATATCAAACAGGATTGAATGGCTGATATAATTAATTATGGGGGGTAAACCAATTCAATTGAGAAATAGACAAAAATTTGCAAGCTCATTCACCTGCTGAAGCTTGATCAGGCAAGGAAGGACAAGGCAAAATGGACATGAATCACAACCCTCGTGGTTATCCCTGTGAAGGTGAGGCCAAATGATCCCATCTGGTACAGTCCTCTTGCAACATTCAACTTGACTAAGTGGGCTTCCACAACTACAAGGGATGTCCTTATTTATTAGGCACTGGATATCTGGCAACTGTAACATTCTCCTATACACTCTTTTTTGTAATTCACTCATGGCACAGAACACGACATTATCTTCCTTACCCATCATAAGATGCCCAATAGTCTCCTCTTTCGTCCTTCTCAGCATATATTTACGAAGAACTCCCACTAGGTGTTGTTTTCGCTTATCAGCAATCTGGACAAATTTTTCTGGAGCAGAGGATCGCTGACCATGCTTGAGAGGTTCATCGTAGAAGTCCCGAAAATGCTCCCTCGTCCCCAAGGATCCCGGTGCGACCAAATCGAATAAATTAAACAGTTCCATGATCTTATTCTGCATTATTGTTCCCGTTAGACCAAAACGCCTGGGGGTCTTGATATCTAAACACGATGCATAGAGCTTCGATTTCTCGTTTTTGAGCCGATGTGCCTCATCAACTATCACAACCACCCATTTAATATCGGACAAGATGCTACCATGAATTCTGTACGTGTCAAAACTGGTTATAAGTACCTCGGTAGCATGAGCATCTAACTTCTCAAGAATAAGTTCACGATTCGCACCATGATAGATGGATATAGCAAAGGCTGCCCACTTAGAAAATTCACTTTCCCAATTATGGATTACAGAGGTGGGGCAAATTATTAAAACAGGTCCCTTCTTCTGTAATTGACCTTCCTTTGAACCCTTAAGACTCTCAGATTCTGCATCTTTTCCAAAAATAGCAGCCAGAAATGCAATTGTTTGAATGGTCTTCCCAAGCCCCCTGCTCCCAAAAAAGTGCACAAATATAAATTTAAATTTGCTATCTTGCCTAGATTGGTATTGCAAGCAAAAGCGAATATGGCCAAAATTTAAAAAGTTGGTCATGCGCACAAGCACAAATGCATCATAAAAGGCATGCCTAAGCTCACATGATTGCTGACATCTAGCAAGAAGAGTGCAAAATAAACACAATTCTCTTCTAGTTTGCATAATTTCGCGCGTGCGCGCAAACAAGGGAGGTTCGTATTCATCCCATCAATGTGGAAATTATCGAGATCTTAGACAATCTACAAATCATCACATCATCTTGAAGAGCTATAAGACCCTTAATCGGATCTGTCAAAACAATTCACTTTAAAGACAATTAACTCATTATACCCCTTCTGTTCCAACTAAAAATGAGAAGCAAGGAATTATTTTCTCCATGTGACTAATATATCATTCTAAGCAACACAGATAAGAAAAGCTACTTACATGTCATCACCAAGAATCCCTCCATGATTGTTTTTGTACAAATTATACAAAAACCTGACGCCCTCCCTTTGATGCTCGAGCAACCTGCAATTGATGGATGAGGGAACCTGCACGTTCATCCACTTCAACATCAACTTTCTTTTTCTTTTTTTAGGTTGGGGGGTGGGGGGTGGGGGGGGGTTGTGTTTGGAGCTAGCTAATTCATGACCGTTAAGTGCTTCATCTCTTCCTTTCAAATGAAAAGAGGAAGCAAGTAAATAGGTACGCTCTGCTTGCGTACTTCATCAGCTGGAGAATCACGTAAACAGAGCCCACCAATTTGACCATTTTCGCCGTTTTGCCCGAGCACTTCTATAGGGACAAGATAAAGTCTTTTATGCTTAAGCGATCGCTAATCCTCAAAATGAATCGAGCCCAACAGTTTTTTTTATCACCTGCACTTTCCTTTCAGAAGCACAACTACTCCGCCATTTATATTTTCTCCCCAAACAACATCAAAACACAAATCACTTCACCTGAACGACCCGAGCTTCCCCGTCCGAAGACAGGACCAACGGCTCGAAAGGCCCCGTCGGATCAAACTGGAAGCTCGCCGACTTCGGCCTCCCGAACGCCGCCCTCACCTTCTCCTCTTCCTCCTCCTCCTCACCATCTTCTTCCTCCTTGAATCCAGCAGCGCCGCGATCCTCCTCAGCACGGGCACGCGGGGGGCGCTCCTCCTCCGACGAGGAGGAGAAGAAGGAGGAGCCCTGGAGGCGCAGGAGCTGCTTCGAGAGAGACGACTTCGGGGGCTTCCGGAGGTTCCCGGGCTCGAGCTCTTGCGCCGGCGAGGGCTTCGGCGGGGAGGTGGAGGTGGAGGCGGAGCCGCCGCCGCCGCCGGCGGTGGGGAGGGAGGACGAGGGAAGGAGGCGCGAGCAGGGCTTGAGCGTCTCCTTCAACGCGTGCAGTGACATAGAAGCGAAGGAGATGGTTGCAGGCAGGCAGGCAGCTTCATCGATTCGATTCCAGCTTTGGATTTCCGCACCCCCGCTGAAATCAAGACAAGAGGAGAGGCCTCGGGATTTGAAAAAAACAGAAAACCAAAAACGGTCGGGTCGGGTCGGTTCTCAGATGGAGGTTCGGGTTTGGTAACCCGGGTTTTGGGCCTCTTGCGGCCCATTTTGGTCGCGCGCCTTGTTTCTTGACGCTCCAAATTTCGGAACGGTAATTAGGATTTTTAGGAAGTTACCAACAAATCTGAAATTCTCTTTTTTTCGGGCCAGTCCTGAAGTTATCCATTTTGTGTGGCTCATTGCTAATTGCTGCTCAGATGAGCGAACTGGGGGAGTTGGATGGTTTTGGCTTACGCCCTAAGCTACTTGATTTGAGCTAATCTAGCTAGGCGGGGTGGTAGTTAACCCTCGTTCGATGGCGCATCGTACCTCATGTTAAGACATTATAGAGACAAACGGAAAAATTAAAAGGTGGTCGAGCGTTTTTTCTTTTCTTCCTTCCCGGAGTTCGTGTTACTAATAATGCTAATGTCCTTATAATTATGAGGACATGGAATCGCGTGGATCGCGAGACAAATTTCTCAAATGATGAGAATTTTAGGAAGATATTCTAGACCGATCGTGTTAAGACAAGTGTCGCGTGAATCGCAAGACAAATTTCGCGCGAAGCCCGAAAGATAAATGCTTCTCATTTTCCTTGCTAGAGAAGCCGCGAAAGAAGTCGAATTGCCGTAACCATGGAATTCCAATGGGCACCGAATTCTTCTCACGTAATCCCAAAATCCAATTCCAAAGGAATCGAAACTCAAATCATCTTCCCGTCCAATGCCTTCTTCTTCACCTTTATCGCCTCCCCTCTCTCCTCTCCAAATGGATCAAGTCCGGCTTCTATTGATTCTAGTCACGACCCCCCCGGCCATGTACGTCAAACCGCCGTCCCGTTCAACCCGCGCGCGTTCCGACCTCAATCATTTCTCGAGCCATGAGCGCGGCGCCGACGGAACCGCTTATACAGGTGGGGATGCAACTTACATTGAGGAAAGCCCTCAGTTGTTGAAGGGCGTAGCTTATAAGTTGAGCTAATTAGAAACACTTCATATCTCAGAAACTGCATATATAAAATTCTCTAATCAGAGGCTACTTTACCCCCAAGCACCGAGCCTAAAAAAAGTGTCATCCTAGGACAGCAAGAACCGAGTGACAGTTAAAAAGGAAATAAAATCGAGGACGAAAACAAAAATCCATGGAGCATCATCATATCAAAGGGTCATCAACAGAGTTACTTCTCATCTCACAAAGATGAGTGGATCCCTTATGAATCACATAGTAAACAAGAGAAACATGGGAAGAAGAAACTATTAAGCAAAGCCAAATCAGTCTGTCTGAAATGTCTGGCAAAAAAAAAAATCTCCTCGGAATCATAAGTGAGCCTTCGGTTTTTTCGCGGTGACAATCCGTGAGATCCAGAGTCCTTGGCTAAATGCTTGGTTGAATAGAATCCGTGTCTGCATAGACCCGGGCATCCATGATAACACAGCTACTGGAGCCAGGACAATCACTCCAAACATTATATCATAAAGACGAGCCAAGGAAACAACCCTGCCCCAGATCCAAGTGGGCTTCAGGATCGGCCGAAGAACTTGCGCTATCAATACGAGGCCATATCCGGTGGGGATGAATGCCAACAAAATGGTGATGATATCCATTAACTTGAACTGCGTAAACTTCAGCAATGCAACCAACGCAAGTGTTCCTAGTATAATGATGAGGAACTGCACAAGTCGATAGTAGATGTGTTTTCTTGCCGCCCACTTGTCCCAGGCATATGATATAAGGACATGGACCCCCAAAATTACTGAGAAACAAATCAAAGAGAGCAAGTAGATGGCAATTCTTCTACTTCCAGCTGTGATTCCGAGTTGGTATACAACCCCATAGTGGAAAAGGAAGAAGCGGAGATCCAAGATCACCTCTACTAGTTTTCCCCAATGACCTGTTGTTCTTAGATGATCTTGCTCCTCATACCACCACACTTCCCAACTCTCTTCAGCTTTAGTAAACACACCGCTGCGGAACCATATCCAGTTCATGAAATCGTCAAAGTCATGCACTGTCTTCAACCAATCGAAACCAAGAGGGTTGAACAGAAAAGGAGCCATAATCCATGAAACAACAAGGAACCAACTTGATATGGTCAAGGCTATGTAAGTGAAGGTGTTTTTCTCGGTAGGGCCGTGTGATGCATAAACTGTGAGTATCAGGCCAAGTTCAATCGCCTTCACAAAGTGACTACGGGCATAGAGCCGGTAGTTCTCTGCAAAACTCTCATGCTGCACGACAAATCCACGTCCTGTGGGACGATATTTCGCACCACCATGAAGAATGGTCCGGCCAAAGTAGTGGGCATGAGTTCCCATAGAAAACGTGTAGAAAACAGATGATAACTGGAGCTGCATGGTCATGAAGTGCCATATAGCTTGAAGAAATCCATTCTGAAGGGAATTCTCCACTATCATAGGGAGTGCCGTGAATAGACTCAGTTGGATGATAAATAGATTTAGAATTGTACCGAGTGCTTTACTGTCATTGCTGCTGCTCGCAGCGGCACCTTCAAGCCCATTAGGGCAAAGATAGAGCCGGCCCCATAAAAATGCATAGACTGCCAGGATGACCATCGTTGTGTTAAAGAAGGATCCCACAGTGGTGTAAAAGAACGACAGCATACGGAAGAAGTCAAGCCGATGGCCCAGCCAATAGACATCTCTGCTAAGGAGCTGTTCACCATTTCCGGCAGCAACCTTGGCTTCAACCATCGATATCTGATTCATTCCAACTTCCCTCCCCTTTCCCACTTGTATGTACTCATGGTGTGTGACCTTGCCTCCTCTCATTGTGCAATTAAATCCTGCGAAAATACCTTCGCTAATGTTGATCATTCTGGATGCTTTACTAATACCGCCCCTGCTTAGGAACCAAAACCTGTCCAAAACATCTGAATGGCCATAATGCATTCGAACTTTCAAAGGATGAGCCAAGACGCGTTGCCCCAACGTGACAAAACTCATCTCTTGAGCTGACACAAACCCAGCAAGCGATGAAATTGAACCAGTGAAGATGTGTTCTCTAACCCCCAAGATGGTAGGCTTCCGTATGCCATAGTAAGTCTGGAATTCTTCCAGCAGATTCCGCATCTTGAGTGCCTCCTCGAAATAGTTGTCTTGGTTCATGTCAATAGTCTGGACGGCATCGCCACGGGTGAAAATGAGGGCATGGTTCTGGTTTTCCGGTTTTCCCTCTCCAAGCTTCAAGGGACCTGGCAATTGGACCCTGTATAATTCTACTTCCTCCTGGCGTTGCTGATCGTACTTGACCAGAACAGAATAGTATTCCTTTTCATCCCCCCTGGTGGAGACTTCATCCTCATAAGCTACTCGGAGCGCTTCATTGTTTTTCATCAGGTTCAATATTTCCTCTGCACGGGGATCTTTCTCTGCCTTTTGAGAACCATAAATCTGGCAAGCGACCACGTATGTGTATTTCATCGCAGCGGTGCCGGATATATGGTCTTCGGACAAAAGATTGACTGAACTAATGCTGGTACTAAAACTCTGGTAAGAAGGCGACTCTTCCGAGCTGGAACTGTTCACGCTGCCAACGTGCCTCACTGAGTCCAGTCTTTTTACTAAATTTTGAATGTCCACCTCCGATGCAGAATCAAGAAAAGCCAGCATCTTAAGTGCTCGATAGTAATACATCATTCCTCTGACTGTTCGAGCAAGTGTCTGGCCTCTGTATGACGCCCAAAGCCTAAGATCTCTCAACTTGGCCATTGTTTCGTCGTCCTCATCAGCCTTCTTCACCTTTCTTTCTCTGAGCATTCTCTCTATGAAATTTTTCCACTCATCAGGATATACAGTCTTCAAATAAAACAAAATGTAAACTCCATCTTCGTTCTTTTTGAGAAGCTGTTCTTTGCTGTACAGTACCTCTTCGTTGTAGTAAGGAGTCAGAACGCTGAAACCCAACATTTTCTCCACGTTGGGTGCGTGTGGCATGTTCATAAACAGCGAATTACTGAAAAAGGAAATTCGCCGTCTCGCCTCAACATTTGAAGGAACTTTGTGCATAGAGTCCCTCGAGGTAAGAATGGTGTGCAAGCGACGAACCTGCCAATGGAACTTGTTATCACTCGGATCAGGCAATGCAACTGCATCCACGAAAAGCAATCCACTGCCAGAAGACAAGCCATCCTCCTCCAGCTGCTTGTTCTTCCGCCTCTCTACGAAAAATTCTCTAATAGCAATCTGATAAAGGGCCTGCAGAGTGTGCACAATTTTGTCCAAATCTTTCTCTGAATCTTTCAATAGCTCAGCCAACTTTGATAACTTGTCATGAATCTTAGGCAACACGGACAACTTGAAAAGCTTCGAAAATTTCTCAACCTCGATGGAGTGATCAATCTCTTGGAACAAATCAGTGAGGATGGAATACTCCTTCGAGTCGACTTTAACGATTTTGCGCAGCAAGTGCTTGACACTGTCATATGCTTCGATCACAGCGCAGCGCCTGTACTCATTCTTGCAGATCTTATACCAGAGCCACCTGTCAGGAGCATCAACTAGCTCCTTGGCCTGTCTTAAAGCAAGCAACAGCTCATTGCAAAGGAGAAAACATGGCCAGGATATAACTCTAACACTCCAATCACTCCTTGGTAGCTCCAAGAGCTCAACTTCCCGGTCAGATACTATATCCTCTTCCCTAAATATGGTTATGATCTCATTCCAAAGCAAAGCGAACCTCAGCGCTTCGATCTGATTAGGTTCGAACTTCTGGTACGGCTTGCCCAGTCCATACCTCAGCTTCAACCGGTGAATAACATCCTGAAACTTGTTTCCTATCATTTGCCAAAGCTGCTCCTCAGGCATCAGATTAAACTGAACAGCGCTAGCGAAGAACTGGAACCGCAATCTCACCTGCTCGAGACTTCGTATCTCACCCAAGTGATCTAACAACCCGACTATTGCTCCA